CATGAGTACCCTGTGCCAGTTGTCAGCCATATTTTGGCGTCATTGCAAGGAGGCTGCATGTTCGCCAAATTAGATTTGGCACAGGCCTATCAACAACTGCCCATGGATGAGGCCATGGCAGTAGCCCAGACCATTGTCACCCATAGAGGGGCTTTTAAGATTAAGCGCCTCCAGTTCGGGGTGAGTGTAGTCCCAGGGCTGTTCCAGGGACTGATGGAGCGCACGCTCAAGGGAATTCCAGGGGTTTGCCCCTACTTCAATGATGTCCTCATTGCTGGGGAATTGGTTGAGATTCTGGCTGAACAGCTTAAAGCCATCCTTCAGTGGTTCTGCAACGCAGGACTTAAACTAAAAAAAAAAGTGCAAAATTGGGGTAGAGTCAACCAAGTTCCTTGGTTTCTGCATCGATGCCGAAGGCATTCATCAGGCGGAATCCAAATTAAAAGCAATCCATCAGGCCCCAGGGCTGAAGTCAAAGGGAGAGCTTTAGGCTTTCCTAGGCCTTTTGAATTTTTACCATACCTTCCTCCCAAACAAGGCCGCAGTGGCAGAGCTGTTACACTGGCTTTTGGATAGACAAGCTCCAAGCAATCAAATCACTGCTGTCATCGAACTCAGTTCTCACTCATTTCAGTGAGCAGCTGCCTGTCTGCATTGTGTGTGATGCATCCCCGTATGGGGTTGGGGCTGTGTTAAGCCACTTATTGGCTGATGGGAGGCAGAAGCCCATCACGTATTACTCCAGGACCCTATCGTCCGCAGAGCGCAACTACATGCAAATTGACAAGGAGGCTCTGGCCATTGTGGCCAGAGTTAAAAAGTTCCATCACTACTTGTATGGCCGCCAGTTCATGGTCTTCACAGACCACAAGTCACTCCTAGGGTTGTTCACCACAAATAAACAGACACCTCAGATTCTGTCTACTCGAATGCTGAGGTGGTCTATCTTCCTGTCAGCCTACAGCTACAGGGTGATTCACAAACCGGGCAAGGAAATGGGCCATGCAGACGGTCTGAGCAGGTTGCCCCTGCCACATATGGAGCCAGATCTAGCTCCGGCTGCATGCATCCTGGCTATCCAGGATTTGCCGGAATCTCCCCTTCGTGCTGGGGACATAGCTGCTGAGACAGCAGCTGACAAAATGCTGAGTTGTGTGCTAAACTGGGTACACACAGGATGGCTGGACAAATGTTCAGGGCCAGAATTTCAGAGTTTCTTCATGAGAAAAGATGAGCTTTCAGCTCATAAGGGGTGCATCCTCTGGGGAAGTAGGGTCATAGTCCCGAGCTCTTTAAGGCCCAGAATCCTAGAGTCTCTGCACGAGGATCATCCGGGAATAGTCTGGATGAAGGCATTTGTGAGGAGCTACCTTTGGTGGCCAGGGCTAGATAAAGCCATTGAGGCCCAAGTACATGGTTGCTAAACGTGCCAGTAGTCCAGACCGGAGATGCCGCAGCCCCTGTCCACCGATGGGAGGACACACACACACACTGTGGTCAAGAATCCACATCGATTTTGCTGGGCCCTTTCAGGGACAGCTGTTTCTAATAGTGGTGGATAGCCATTCTAAATGGTTAGAGGTCGCACCAGTCCCTACTATGACTACTGCCAGGACCATCCAGGAACTGCACAGAATGGACTTCCAGATGTGTTAGTCTAGACAATGGGGCTCAGTTTACCGCTTCTGAATTCCAGTCTTTCCTCAAGGCAAATCTAATATGGCACACCACGTTGGCTCCCTTTCACCCGGCTTCGAACGGCCAAGCGGAATGCATGGTCTGCACAACCAAAGAATCACTAAAACAGATTGTCACAAGGGATTGGCACCACAGACTGGCAGATTTTCTACTCTGCCAACGCACAACTCCCTGTACCACCATGGGCAGAAGCCCTGCCGAACTCAGATGGGGCCGACGTTTGATCACCAAGCTGGATAGGCTACACCCCGATTGGGTTGCCTCGGACTCTGCTCAGCCAAAGGCACCTTGGAATTTGCAAGTGGGTGACCAGTTTGGACCCCAAATTAAGGGCAAGGGGCTTTGTGGGTGGCAGCCATGGTTGTTAAGGTATAGGGATCACTCTCTTATGGATGGTCCTGGAAGATGGGTGAGTCATTCACCGGCACATTGACCAGCTGCGTCGAAGGCTAATGAACCAGTTGCTGGCTCAGGCCTCTCAAGAGGGCCACACGCAAGGGCCCTGCGACAGCAGCCCAACAGAGGAGCTTGCACACTCCAACAGAACTCTTACTCAAGGAGACGGGGGAAAGACCATAGGAGAGCTTCCCCTGGGCAGAGAGACAGTATCCGCTGAACAGGACTGGCAAACTGTGCTGAGGGACAGCCCTGTAGACTTTGCTGCATGATTGGACTTTGGTTTGGGCCGACCGGGACTGGCCAGCCAAAGGGACCCGAGTCAACCTGACTTCACTGAACCTCAGAGTCCTGGTCTACCCAGCCGGGCAGGTGAGCAGGTAGACCGGGAGACCCCTGCAACCCCTAGACATTCAGAATGGTCAAGAAGGCCGCCTAAATATCTGCAGGACTATGTCCATTAATTGAGAGCTTGAGCCATCTAGGGGGAAGGGGTGTAGTGTATTGGCCACAACTGTTTTAAATCACTTGCTTAATGTCTGACCTACATTGCTGTATTGTTTCACAGTTGCTGTTACTGGTGCAGGTTTTGTCTTCTATCTCAGTACAGGCTCAGGCTGCCCTACCACCTGTCTCTGGCCACTGTTGTTCCTGGAGACTGGGTTCAGGTGAAAAGAACTGTCACTTAGAAATACCAGTCTTGAGTGATCCCACCCATGCCAAATCCTCCTGATCTAAGGAATCAAGGCGTGACTCCATGGAAAGTCCCATCATTCCCTCTCCAGTGACAAGCTCCACAGTTGGACGGCCTGAAAATGAAATTTTAACCTACCTCGCCTGTTGAACTGTTTCCATCTAAGTAGGAGAAAAACCTCAATGGATTGGACTACCCTGGAAATTGTGTTCCTAGAACATGGACTATGTATTGCAATATTTTTATTCTACTACTGTTGTTTCCCTTGTACCTTCTTTGGTAGAAAGAAGGACCATGGGTCCAATACTTAAAGGAACGAAAGGGAGTTATGTTTATAACAAGACTATGTATTCCACTTGCAAAGGGGCAGTAGGGTCACTTGTTATGCTTCTGTCAATACAGTAAAGTTTTACCAACAACTTTAAATCTGGACATATGGAGGGACATACAGACATTACCTTTGGGGAAGAATAACACAAGACTTATGGACAAATACCAGAATCTTTTTTGATGCATGTAAAACTATTGACTATAATCAAGCTAAATGGACTAAGTGTGGAGACAGGCCTACTCATTTAATGCCAAATATGTTTGCACATCCTACCCAACCTGGCACAATCAAAGGATTCCTGCAATCCAGTGTGCTTCGAGATAACCAGACCAATGGATTTCTCAGCATCATTTGGACTAGCTATAAATATGGGTTCAAGTTGATTTTCATGAACTGGAAACCACAATTGAGATTCCCTCAGTATCGAACAAACTTTTTATTGATCTGGCCCAAAAGAATTGTTTCATTTTTAAATGTGAAGCTCAAGTGATTCAATTGGAGAACATCACTCTCATTTTAAATTTGACCTGGAAAGAAAAAGACTGCCCAGCCAAATGGGCCCTCAATTCTGTAATTGTGGCTCTAAATTGCATTGTTAGACCCCAGTCCGACATTATACAAAATGAATATGTCGAAGAAATCACTGACAGAATGCGAACGTTGGCTCATGTCCCTGTCCAGAGATGGACATGAGCACTGGATGTTGGAGAACGGTTTTCAGAAAACTTTTGCTGCCACTCCTATCTATAACAATAAACCAGCTAAAGCAATTATTTTAAGACCTTTATCTTCTGACTACACTCCCCTCTTCTGGAGTCCCTAAGCCTATTCGGCTTTTATATTAAAAGGGAGGATTGAAGGGACTTTATTGTGCTTATGATTTTATTATGTTTAAGCTTGATATTAATAGTGATACTTTGTAATCATTATATATATATATTTGTTTATGTGCAAGTAGCTTTGTAGGTGCCTTATATTGGCAAATGGTTTACATAAAAGCAAATGTCTCATGCTAAATATACAGGAAATTGCTTACATGAAAGGAGCAATGTGAGATTCAGTGGCCAGGAAATAAGGAGGGGGAAGGTGAGCTAACCTGGATTGAAGTGTATGAGTCATCACCTTGGAATTTGTTTTTTTGTACTTCCTTACTCCTGGTACAGAGATGTGAGTCTCTTTGTTCTGAAAGGGTATAAGGAGTGGAAGAAATTGTTTCTGTGTGTGCCTTCATCCCTTTAAGCAGCCATGAAAAGGAGGAGGAACCTGTCTCTGTTTTGATCAAAATAAAAGTTGTTTTCTTGATGAAACCTCAGCTCAGTAGTTTCTTTGGCTTTTTAAAATTCCTGAGTAGCCCAGAGAAGTTTGTGAGGTTAAGAGGAGAACCTTACAGCATACTAGTTTATTTCAGATTTTTGAAGTAATTAAATACCATAGTGATTGTAATATTGTATCTAGGAATGTTTTCCTAATAAAATGCATATCAAGAATGAATAAATATATTAGTAGTAAGAAAAGATTTTTTTCCCTTTCCTTTATTCTACATGTTGTTTTTTATATAATCATGACCTCAAAATGAGTAGAAATTCTTATTTTTGATTAGTGTCAATTTTATATACAAATAAAGTTTGTACAAATACTAAACACCTCTGAAATCTCTTTGGATAGCAAATTTTACTCTGTAGACTGTTTACTTGAAAATAGGAGGATTCTAGCAGATGGATGCTTGTCAGATTCATTATGATGAATGTATCTTTAATATTGCATATGCTTCTTGTTTGAATTTCTTCAGTTCCCATGTTAGTTGATAAACATGTAGAATGTTTGAATCTTGCAAAGTAACAACCTATTGACTGTTATCTATTTTTCTCTTCCTGTCTGTAGGCCTAGCTGTCTCTCTTCAGCTACTCCATGGGGACATTGAACAAATCAGGAGAGACTACACATCCATGTTTACCCATGGAGTATCAATAGCAAGGAAGTTGGGCTTTTCCAATATTATTATGCCAGGTATGTTTTAAGAAAATCCTATCTTAACCTGGATATTTAAGTGTAACTTTGATTATTTATGAAGGTAAATATGTCTTAAATAAAATTTGTATGATTGCAAGACAAAGTAAAGAAATAAAGATTACTGTGTCAGTCAGTAGAAATATTGGGTATCAAACCATTTTGGTTTCAGAGATTGACAGTACTTGGCCTGTGTGCTTTCTGGAATTCTGACCTCTTTATCTATGGGACTTAAAAATTGAGGATAGTTAATAGCCAGTTATTTCCACAAGATAAGCATTTGGATATTAAGTGGCACAGTGGTTAGAATGCAGTATTGCATGCTAACTTTGCCCACAGCTTGGAGTTTGATCAGTTAGATTCAGTCTTCATCCTTTCAAGGTCAGTAAAATGAGGACTCAGATTGTTGTGGGCAATATGCTGACATTTATAAACTGCTCAGAAAGTGCTATAAAGCACTATGGAGCAGTATATAAGTCTAAGTGCTATTACTATTGCTGTTTGCAAATAGTTTGTTTTTTAAATTGCAACAACCAAAAACGAGTCCTTTCATAAATTGTATAGATTCTTCCTTATTCTTTCTTGTTTGGTGCTATGCCATTACACATAGGAGCAGAGGATCAATAGCAATCTTTTGTTGTGTTCTGATTCTACCTTGAATATCATGAGAATCAAACAAAAATACTATATCAGTCAGAAATAGAAACTTAACTTCATTTCATACCAGTAGTCCTTAATCACTATATTAATAAAAATATGTCTACTATCATAATTGTGCTCATCCTGAAAATGTTTTATACTTACTTACTGAGAAAAAGAATCAATTGAACTTCATTTGGATTTATTTCTGAATAGATGTGCATAGAATGATATTACGAATTTCAGTTTATTTATTTATTTGTATCTTGCCTTTATTATTTTTACAAATAACTCAAGGCAGTGAACATATTCAACACCTTCCTTCTTCTATTTTCCCCACAACAACCCTGTGATATAGATTGAGCTATGACTCAATGATTGACTTAGCCACTCTTATGGCTAAGTGTCAAGGCCCACTTCAAAACCTCATCCTAAGAAAGCAGGGCTCATGGAAGCTGTTTCTTCCAAAAGGAACTTTTATTAGGAGAAGCTGTTAGCAGGCATGATAGGCAGGATCTGAGGGTTTCCCGCTCAGATCAATAGGTTAAAAGAGTCCCAAGCAAATCCTACCCCAATAGATCATCCGGTCAGTTTGAATGGGCCAATCCTCAGGTGTTACGTTTGCTGTGCGAAAGAAGCTGATAACATAGGCCTTCCCAGGCTCGCGATGATGTTAGGTCTTCACATCTTCCCTTCCATAGTGAGAGACAAGCCAGATGGCTGGAGGTACATTCCTTTCTCCCCCCCAAGGTAACATCAAGGGAGAGACAGTTCAAAGAGCAAGTATGCAGCAATAGCAAAAAGGATACATTGTAGCGAAACAGAGAAACAAAGAGACAGCCCAAAACATCTTCCCCCCTCCCCTTCAGGAGAATGGCAGAACCCTTTATAAGGAATAGAAAGAAATAAAATAGAATCCCCCCCAGTATAAGATGGGTTCTGACATCCTGACCCCCTTAAAAGAAAGAGAGATCCACCTGTGGAACAAAAAAGAAAAAGGGAGACAAGGATTAGTCCAGTTTATTGGGGTATGCAGCATGAAACTTGGTAAGGAGTCTGGGGGCACTAACATGGTGTTTGTGAACCCACTCGTTTGGGATGATGATAGATGTTTCCATGTTACCAGGTATTGGGTGGAGCCGTGATATTTTCTGAAGTCTAGGATTTCTTTAATTTCAAAATGTTGTTTGCCTACCACCATAATTGGAGGTGGAAAGGACCTGCAGTTGGTCTTAAGGATGACTGCAGCTTTAAGAGGGTGCAGTGGAAAATTGGGTGAACTTAGAAGTTGTACTGTGTACTGTGACGGATTTATAATTCTTTAAATGGGGAATGGTCCCACAAATTTTGGTCCTAGCTTCTTGGAGGGTTGTAGGGATTTTAAGTACTTTGTAGACAGGTAAACCTTTTCTCCTATTTTAAATGGTTTTGGCTCACTTCTGTTTTTGTCTGTCTGGACTTTGTATGCCTCTCTAGCCTCGTCTAAAGCTTTCATCACTGGCCAGGTGTTTTTTTTCAATTGTGCAATCCATTCTTTTAGGGAAGGGATTGTGGGGTCACTGGAAGGAAGTTTGCCCTGTTGCCACTTTGCCCTGTTGCCAGTGCTAGAGTGGACTGCATTGTTGTAGGCAACCTCTGCGAACAGAAGCAGATAGGTCCAGTTCTCCTGCTGGTAATTAATGAAGCATCTTAAATGCTGCTCCAGTACTGAGTTCAACTCTTCAATCCCACCATTTGTTTGCGTATGATGACTAGATCAAGGCTTTTCAACCTTTTCACCCATTATACCACTTTTAGGATATGGAAACATTCAAGTACCACCAGTTGCCTAGCAAGGTGTCAAAAAAAATGAAAAAAGTGATAAAGTACAAGTAGTCTTTGACTTACAACAGTTCGCTTAGTGACTCTTAGAAGTTATAATGGCATTGAAAAAAGTGCCTCCCAAGGCACAGCCAAGCAAGACTGGCGATGCTCTTCCTCCTGACCGAGGTTTTCATTACTGTGAGCATTTCTGTTGTGGATTGGCAGTGGGGGTGGGATGGGGGGGGTGTTTGGTTTGTATTCCCCCCCCCCGTCTGCTGGGTGGTTCAGCAGGTTTTGGTCATTTCACATGACCCTGGGACACTGACTGTCATAAATATGAATCAGTTGCCAAGCATCTGAATATAAATCACAAGACCCTGGAGATGCTGCAACATTCCAGCTGATCGGCGCTTCTTCTGGGCTCAGCAGAAGCACCAGGATCAGTGCCACTTTCCAGCTGATTGGTGCTTCTTCAGGGCTCAGCAGAAGCACCAGGATCAGCACCATGCTCCAACTAGAGCCTGGCACTGATCCTGGCTCTTCCACTGAGCCCTGACAGCCCCAAAGAAGCACCAATCAGCTAGAAAGCGGCACTGATCCTGGTGCTTCCGCTGAGCCTTGACAGCTCTGCAGCTCCAGCTATCTCTCACTCAGGCTTGAGCGGTGCTGCCACTGGTTCAGCTCATTCCCCTCCCCTGCTATCACTTTTCTAGGATGGTCGTGTACCACTTGCCAGATGCCAATGTACCACAGGTGGTACCCGTACCACTGTTGAAAAGCCCTGACCTAGATGACATTTTAATATTCACTGAGACAATGGAAGAGCATGTGAAACTAGTCAGGGCTATCTTTAAAAAGCTCCAGGCAGCTTGCCTATATGCCAAGCTCTCTAAATGTGAATTCCATAGGAGAAAATCGACTATTTGGGATATCGCATCTCCCCAAATGGCATAGAGATGGACCTTGAGAAGGTCTGAGCAGTATTAGAATAGGCTCCACCCTGCACCAGAAAACAATTGCAGAGTTTCCTTGGATTTGCTAACTTTTACTGACAATTCATCCTTTGCACAAATTGTATTATCAATTACGAACTTACTGAAAACCAAAGGGGAGGGAAACCCTAAGCCAAGCCAACCATTGAAATGGACAGTGGAATGTCAAGTTGCATCTGAAAGGCTTAAAAGACTATTTTCTGCTGAACCAGTTTTAAGACACCCTGACACTGATAAACCATTTGTAACTCAGGCTGATGCCAGTGATGTAGCCATGGGGGCTGTATTTTTACAGGAAAACGATGAGGGGAAATTACAACCCTGTGCATATACCTCAAGGAAGTTCACAGAGACAGAACAAAGGTGGGCAGTCTGGGAGAAAGAGGCTTATGCAGCATGATGGGCTCTTCTCACTTGGCAGCACTTCCTGGAGGGGAACAAAATTCCTTTCCAGGTGTGGACTGACCACAAGAACCTGAAAGCACTAAAAACACCCAGGAAACTAATTACTAAATAAACGAGGTGCTCGCAACATTTCCACCGGGTTTTCACATTAAAACACCTGCTGGGAGGAAAAAACTTTTTGACAGATGCTTTGTCCAGACTGCCTCAATATAACACTAACTGAAATGAGGTAGCAAAACCACTCATGGCAGGTAAACAACTAGCAGCACCAGTCACACCCGGGCACAAGCCAAACTCCAAAAACCTTTAGTGAGCCAAGCAGAAATCGAATTCAAGAAAGCACTACAAACAGATGAATGGTTCCTAAGCCACAAAAACCTATGCACCATAACAGATGGTCTATCATGGGTCGTGGGGAAATTATACATACCAAAAAGCAAGAGACTAACATTAATGCAGTTGTGCCACAACTCAAAGTCAGCAGGTCATTTTGGATTCGTGAAAATGTTGCACCTAGTCAAAAGACAATTTTGCTGGCCATCAATAACAAAGGACATTGAAAGCTACATGGCTAGCTGCCCAATCTGTGCCTCAGCAAAGAGATTACAAGGGAAAACACCTGGATTACTGCAACCAGTAACAACCCCCTCAGCATCCTGGGAGGAGATTTCCATGGGCTGTATTGTGGAGTTACCAGAAAGTGGGGGGAATACAATCATCTGGGTCATGACAGACCTATTCTCCAGACAAGTACATTTTATTCCCTGCTCAAAAATCCCCAATGGAAAAACACTTGCAAAGCTTTCCATTTAACACATATACCAGCTTCATGGAGCTCCACAGTGCATCATATCCGATAGAGGAATACAATTCACATCAGAGTTCTGGAGAGTGTTTCTGAGCTTGTTAGGGACCACCCAGGGACTGTCATCTAGTCATCATGCACAAACGAATGGTGGACTGAATGATTGAACTCGGTATTAGAATAATACTTAAGGTGCTTCATTAATTACCAGTAGGACAACTGGACCTATCTGCTTCCATTCACAGAAGTTGCCTACAATAACACAGTTCACTCCAGCACTGGCTACACTCCATTTCAAGTGGCAACAGGGCAAAAACTAATTAAGTATTAGTTTTAAGTAACTGGGAGAGACAGCATGGCTGTATTTAATTGTAATAACAGTCTTCTTTGCAAATAAATTCTCAGTGGTTTTCACTTTGTCTAGGCTTTCTTTAGTCCTTCAGGGAACAATTGGATCAGAATTAAAACAAAAGTTACCTTTGGCCTATTTGATATTGGCTTTCAAGATAGCTCTCTTCTAGATCTAAATTTCTTCTCAGGTTGGGCAGTTGTTTCCCTCTCAACTCTTAATGCTCATTCTTAATTGTTCCCCTATCCTTAGTTTATCAACACTTGTTCTCTGCTTGTCAAATTGAGCTATTGTTTCACAGTCCTTCCTAAGAATTCCAAAGTTCCATATTTATATAGTTTTTGGTTTCTAACAACCCATCTATGTTTGTTGACTCACTTGGCCTGAAGCTTCTGTTCCAAATTGCTGTAACCAAGGCATCCCCGACTGGCTTTGGTTCAATTCTCAGTAACACTACTAGGTCTCTGGCCTAAATATATCAGTTATATTATAACCACTTTGTTCAGAGATTTTACACAGCTATACATACTTCTTTACTTAGGCATGGGTAGCCCCAATTAAAAAAGGAATCACTATATGTTTCAGAATTAATACATAATTAAATCTGATTTTTGTTGTTTCACAGGGAAAACCTAATCTCCTAACTCTCTTTTTAAAAATCCATAAATATAGTGTATATTACTTAATTATATTGTTTTCTATAAAACTAATAAATGGTAATATAAATTATTAATTAATGTTCTTAGATACCACAAACAGATTCCATAAAGGTATACAATTAAAATTTATTCTTCTTTTACAAAACATTTTCCAGTTTGTTAATGTAAGAATTCATTTTCTTTGTCTACTTTCCACTAATTTCAAATTACAAAATATCACTTTTTCTGATATTTTCACAGATTATTTATTGTAAATGAGGACCCAGATTGTTGAAGGCAATATGCTGATATTGTAAACTGCTCAGAGAGTGCTGTAAGGCACTATAGAGCTGTATACAGTATAAGTCTAAGTGCTTATGGCTATTGCTATGTTCTTGAAACCAAAACAGTTAATACAGACACTTAAATCAGATACTTTCTGAAGTCTTCTTAAATAACATTTATTCTCTGGACTTCTGAATTAAGGGAGAAACATAGATTCTAACCTTCAGATTAAATAAATAGGGGGACATTTTAGATTCCAGTCATATCAGCAGCCAGGAATAAAACCATTGTTTGATAGCCATTCTTTGTTCTTTGGGCATAGGAAAATAATACTGGAAAGTATTGGTATTGATGGCAGTGGTTAGAATGTAGTATTGCAGACTAACTCTGTCCACAGCCAGGAATTCGATCTTAACTGGCTCAAGATTGACTCAGCCTTCCATCCTTGTCAGGTTGGCAAAATGAGAACCCAGATTGTTGGGGGCAATATGCTGACATTTGTAAATTACTCAGAGAGTATTGTAAAGCACTATGGAGCAGTATATAAGTCTAAGTGCTATTGCTATTTCTAACTCCGTTTATAAGCATAGAGGCTGGGTTTAGGAGTGTAGCTTCCATTTATAGATAAAATAACTAATAAGGAGTTGTGATACCCAGAAGTGATGGCATGTATTTGCATCTTTCTTCAAGGCATTTTCTCACTTGTGAGTTGCAAAATATGTGGATTCATTTTCATTTCTGGTCTGGTTGAAAGCTAAAAGATAACATTTCCTCTCCTATAAATGTATTAGGGGGAAAATGCTGCTTTCAGCATTATCCTTACCTAGTAAGTTGTCACAAATTCCAATACCAAGCATTCACCAGCTTCAAAATAATTATACAGTGATCAGTTCAACAAAGGAGGAAATAATATATTTTGATATAATCCAGTAGTATTCCCACAACAATAATCTCTTTCTATCTTTAAGAGTCAGTAAATTTTTAGCTGATTGCAAAGTCTTTAAAGTTGGAGTCCTCTGTGCCATCTTACCAGAAGCCTTTTTGATTGTGTTAGCTTTTGAGAAATAAGTTTAAGAAGAAATACATTTAAATAAATTAAGCCTGTAACTATCTATAAAATTATTGCTGTCTAACCTGTCAAGAATGTTTCCTGTATTCCAGATAGTGTTTACCTTCTCCTTCAACCTCTCCAGTTTGATAAATATATGAACATGCTGTAAATTACAGTATTGCTTCTTGTTGTTATTCTGAAAAACATGATTTAAACTGAAACTAAGTAGTATTGGTATCTTGACCACATGCATTTCCTTTGCATTTCTGCAGATTCTAAATATCTTTGCTGATACCCGATATAAAAGCTGTACAGGCTTTTTAAAAAGGAAACTTGCTATACTTGATGCACCTGGAGATTCACACAGGAACATCAAATTAGAATACTATTTTAGGAGAAAGTGTACAGTCCTTCTCCTCCTCCTCCTCCTCCTCCTCCTCCTCCTCCTCCTCCTCCTCCTCCTCCTCCTCCTCCTCTCCTCCTCCTCCTCCTCCTCCTCTTCTCTTCTTCTTCTTCTTCTTCTTCTTCTTCTTCTTCTTCTTCTTCTTCTTCTTCTTCTTCTTCTTCTTCTTCTTCCCTTCCCCTTCCCCTCCCCTTCCCCCTCTTTCCTCCCTCCCCCATTTCCATTCCTCCTATTATTGTTGAATTGAATTCACTTCCTAATGAGTTTATTTTATTTCTGTTTTTTGTTATTGTTATTATTATTGTTATATTTTTTAAAATGTGCTGAGATGATATTTTTGTTTTGGTTAACTTACTTTATTTTTTCTCTCATAGGTGAAATGAGAAATGATCTATACATCACAATAGAAAGAGGAGAATTTGAAAAAGGAGGGAAAAGTGTGGCCAGAAATGTGGAAGTCACAATGTACATTGTGGACTGCAGTGGACAAATTTTGAAAGTAATTTCTGTTTAACTTCTTTTTTAAATTATAACTACTATTTTAAATTATAGCCTTTTATAATGAAGAACATCCAAGAGATTATGCTGCCAGATGACTAACAGTAGGATTTCTTGATGTCTGAATTAAGTTTTGCCAATTGTGCTAAAGAAAAATATATGTTAGATACTGATGCTATCCTAACATTAATTTCAAATAATCTGTTGTAATGAAACTGAAAAGATATAATGAATTATGTTGATATTGGACTGGACCTATTAAACTGCTGCTGGATCTGTCTGAAGTCTTCCCAATAGCTTGAATTGCAATTACCAGCTTCTTAGTGAAAGATGCACTAAACAGGCCCATGAAGAACAGGTAGACATTCTATACTGAGGATCTGTCTGTTGAAGCCAATGTAAACTGTATCCAAGGCACAAACCATTGATGGAAATCCTAATCATCTCCCTAGTTTCCAAGTGTTATCTTAAAAGATGGGGATGATATACTCAAACTTCCTAGTAACAAACTTAATGGTATTCTTTTTAATATGGCAAAAGAATGACAGCACATCCCTGACGTCCAAAGGGAGATACATGGCCAAATAGATTGGACGATTCCCAGTCTTAATCTACTGTTCCAGAGCCTTAACTAACTGGCAAAGATAAGGCCTTCATGGCTGATTTTGGCCTAAACTGATTACAATTTTTGGGCAGACCTGCAGAGGCAACCATACATTTTTGGATTGTATGTTACCTGGAACATACACACCAACTCCAGTTCAATACTAGCTCCAGTGCCTTCACAAATAGATATTTGAACCCAAGACTGACCAAAACAATGAAAAAATAAAAATGCTCTTCTAACCACCTCTACCAAAAGGCAAGAGAAGTGGCCTATCTAGGATCCAAGTTTAACTTTTTGAGTTTTTTTTTTTGTTCCTTCTATCTTCAATCTAGACCAGAGCACAAAAGGAGATCTTGAAATCCAGTGATCAATTCCTAGCTGGGAAAGCCACAGAAATAATACCACTGGCTGTCAATCTTTTAAGTGAATTGCATTTTCTTCATAATGCCCAAAAAAAATAGGGATGGAGAACATCCTGAATTTTAGGTGGCTAAATTGTCATGGCAGTACTACTAGGTTTTCTTGGAGAGATTAAAGTTCATCTTAGACTAATCAGTCCTGAGCACAAAATAACAATCTGGATGGTGAATATCATGGCCTCAGAATGTCAAGTAGCTCAATGTTTTCATTTCCTTTTTTTAACTTGACTAGTACAAAAGACAGAAATGAAGAGGCAGAAGATATGCTGATGCTTCCAGAAGATCCTAGCATTCTGAGTTAGTGCAATTGTCCAATGATTTACCATGAGCCATGCAGTTAGAGTGGACTGTCTCCCCCAGGGAATATAATTTCACCTCAGATCTAAATAGGTTATATGTGCATATCTGGAAGGTTAAGTAGCAAGCCTGGTGCAATATAGATTACAATGTAGTTTCTGTCCAGATCATTTTAGCTTCCCATGGAATATTGACAGATAAATTTAAGATATCACCTATGCTTTTTGCTGCTTAAGAAGGAAGAAGGAAATTAAGCTGGTGGTCCCTATTTCTGAGATATTGACTTTTTTCCCAGTCAAGTCCATAATCTATAACCCAACACCCTCTAAGAGATTATCTGTTTCTGAATGCCCATTATGGAGTTGCTTCTCATATAATGTTCACATCTAAGGTTTTCACCTGATTCTGAAAATGTTACAAATCATCCTTTCAAGCTTATCAAACAAGTGGATATAAATATGTTACCTTGACCTTCCTCATTGTCATAATGTTATCCAGGTACATGTTCGGAGCTGGCAGTTATCAGCTAATGAAGAAGTCTGTGATTATATTTACTCAGTGGTCTTGTGAACAAATCCCTGATGCATGCCCAAAGTGAACTCAACTTTCTTCAGGGCACAGTGTAATTCTGCCCACATTCAACCACTCCCTTAGAGCAGGGGTCCCCACCTCCAAGGCTGTGGACTGGTACCAGGCTGCGGCATGCCAGAAACTGGTCCATGGAAAAAAGCAAAGCCCCATCCAAGGGATGCAGGCAGCACACAAAACCATGCCCCCTCTAACTTCCGGTCCTGCTCAGCAGCACAGCAGTCAAGGGGTTCAGGACTCCATGCCCTTTGGCTGAGTTTCTTCCTGTTAGGGGACCCTAAGTGAGCCAGAAAAGGTGGCAAAGAAGTGAGGAAGTCCCGGGGACCTCAGAGAGATGGTGGTCGACCCGATCGGTCCAGGGGAAGCCTTCCAGAAGCCAACAGGAGAAAGGCTAGCCTAACTTCAGAGTCTAGCCAAGCTGCAAGCAACCAAAGTCAAAAGCACTATTTTAAGCTGATTGTAAACAGCGCGTTTGAATCTGGGTAAGAACATCAATTTTCTCTACCCTACTTATAAACTTTCCTGAAGGAAAAAAAATCCAAGAAGCAAAAAACCTCTGAAAGTGAAGGAGGGGTATTTTTGCCCCACCCTTTTACTAACGGAAGCAGCGAATTCAACCTTTTTATGGAGGACCAAAATGTATTGAAATGAAATGACTATAAAACCTAAATTTGGAAAAGTTTGAAGTTACTGAATGGTTAAGATTCTTATTTTAAAGGTAATTTGTTCATTTTGAAAATTTGAAAAATAAACCAGTGCTGATATCTAGTGGTGGATGAAGACTATGACAGCTATGGCTTTCATGCAGGACTTGGCAAAATCTGGAAAAAACTAATTTCTACTTGTGACCTTCAAAGCTCTAACAATAGAGAACAGCTGTGACAAAAAAGAAAACAATCTGGGCTGCAGACAAAGACTTATAAACTTCAGGGAACAAAAAAAAAAACTTTGTTGAACTTTCTGGATTACAAGTATCTATTTAACTGTGATCCCAAAGCGATTTGCAGAGAAAAGAAAATTTCGATTCTTGGTCATCATGGAAAATCAGAGATTTATAGAATGAACCTATCAAGAAGAAATAAATACTTTTCAAGAGGAGATATATGATATGTTGCAACTAATTCAAATAACAATGATTTCAAATCACAAAGAAATCCAAAATAACTTTGAAAATATAAACCAATTCATCTCCAATTTAACTTTACAAAAAAAAAAAAAAAATCCCAGGAAACAACAACAGAGAAGGAACAGATAAAACAGACAACTGAATACAAATTTGAGGATAGAGACTTAAAGATGGAACCTAATAAAAGAAAGAAGAATGATTTAACCCACGTGGGGAAAAAAATTACAAGAAATACTGGATTTGGAAAAGACAACTTATACTTTAGCACCACAAAACAAATTTGAGGATAATAAAAAAAATTGGACAAAATGGACCGCAGAGATGCCAGGAAAAACACTAGAATTGGAGAGACAAAAAAATGATAAGAGAAGCAGAGAGAAAAAACAAAGAAAAAGATTTTTTAAAAAAATGAATGGGCAAATGCCTCTCACAAAGATATTGTACTTGACTTATGGAGTTCCCTTATGGATTGGGGTGGCCTCCAGGATATTGGGGAGCCTCTAGAGCTCCACAACCCAAAAAAGCTAGCATTTTTCCTGAACTAGGTGTGGTCGCACCTGGACCAGCACAGGGCAATGTATGCTGATGATGAGGCCTGCATGGATGCAATCATGGCCAATCTTGAGGGAGAAGCAACCAAATGGGTGATGGCTCTCCACAATGAGGGAGCTTCCGAGATGGGAGACTCTGATGCTTTTTTGGGAGAGTTCAGGGCCCGATTTGGCGATACCGTGTAGACCTGATGCATGGAAGCTGAGGTTTAAAACATAAGGCAAGGGAGAAAGTTCATGGTGGAGTGCATCAGAGAATTCAGGAGACTCATGGGGAGACTGAGGCATTGGCCAGAGCAACTCTTGACTCACTACTTCAGAGATGGCTTGAACCGCGAGTTGTACCACATGTGCTTGCCTAGAGGGATACCAGACTTGTTCAGTGATTGGTGACAAATGTGGAGTTGGACCTGATGGAGTACAAGAGATGCGGGAGATTTGAGACCCATCCAAAGAAGAGCCAGGAGAAGCAAATGCTGGGTAGAAAGCAACCAGCTGTACCATCTCCTGCTCCCCATTGAAGGCCCAAGGCATGTTCCCAGCTTATGTTTCTGTTGTGGTCAGGAAGGCCACCAAGTCACAATGTGTCCTGCTCTGGCACCCAGAGCAGTGCTGGAAGCCCCACCTCCTCCAAAGCCCCAAAAGCCACCAAGCAAAGGTTGCGTGTGGCTCGCCAGGTCATTGAGGTCTCCCCTCTGAAAGTGAAGGGGAGGGAACTCTGGTCTTGAAAATGAACCTCTATGAGAGCAATAGCGAATGAGAAGATGACCCCATGGTAAATGGACCTGTCAGCCCCCTTGCAACCCAAGTGGATATTGTAGCACCCCAATTGGGGGTGAGAAGGGTGGTAAAATCCCTGATGGGTGCACCTGATGCCTAATCAACCTGCCAACAGTACAGAAATTAGGATTGTGACTGAGAAAGCTAAGGCAGCCCATAAAGTTCGAGCAGGTTGATGGCTCCCTGGTGGGGGTACTAGCTGCCTCCTACTTGACTGAACTGGTGCACCTGAGGCTAGGAGACCACCAAGAGACCATTCAGTTCGTGGTCGCCCCAAAAATGGTCAAGGAAGTAATTTTGGGATTGCCCTAGCTAGCTAAGTGGAACCCCAAGGTCGTTGGGAGAAAACCACAAAATGAGTGGTAATGAAAAAGAGGTGCCCCAACCTCCCAGAGAAGAAGAAGGGTGAGCCCATATCGGAGAGAAAGAAAAAGGAAACCCCGAATGCAGCAAGGCAGCAGCAGACCGTTCCAAGAGAATACCGAGATCTTATGGAAGTGTTCACTTCCCCACAGACTGTGCTATTCAGATTCTGTCTGGAGTGAAACTCCCAAAGCCAAAAATGTAATCCATGACTCTGAGAGAGATGAGGGACTACATCCCTAAGAATTTGGCAAGCAGATTTATCCAAGCAGCAAAATCCCAAGTAGTAGCCCCTGTGCTATTCAAAGAGAAGAAAAATGGGTCACTGAGATTGTGTGTTGATTTTCATGGAATTAATGGAGTGTGCATGGAAAACATGTACCCACTTCCCCTTATGAAAGACATGTTGGGACACTTAGTCAAGGGGAATGTCTTCACAAAATTATATCTGAGACAGCCGTATTTATGCAGCTCATAAACGAGGTGCTGCATGAGCATATCTACAAATGGGTTTTGGTGTATCTGGTGTCATCCTCATCTATTCTGAGACTATGAACGAACATGTGAAACTTATGTGGCAGGTGCTAAAAATTTTTGGGGATACTAAGCTATATGCCAAACTGTCAAAAAGTGAGTTTCACAAAACCAGCCTAGATTACCTAGGCTACAGAGGTGCAAGGAGGTGGAGATGGACCCGGGGAAAGTGCAATCCATCTTGGAATGTCAAGCTCCTTGGACCTACAAGCAGCTACAGAGCTTCTTGGGGTTTGCAAACCTTTACAGGCAATTCATCCCCTCCTTCGCCAAGATTATCCTGCCCATTCACAGCACTATTGAAAATGGGAGGAGGGGGAGAGAAGCCCTGGCTGAACCAGTCCTTGAACTGGACGATGGAATACCAAGCGGCATTTGAAAAATTGAAAAGGCTGTTCGCGGCTGAGCCAGTTTTAAAACACCCAAATCCAGAGGAGCTGTTTGTAATTCAAGCAGATGCCAGCAATGTGGCCATTAAAGTGGTCCTCCTCCATCAAAACCAAGAGGGAAATCTGCAACCGTGCACATACATATCTCGAAAACAATGAGACCAAGAGATGGTGGGCCATGTGGGAAAAGGAAGTCTTTGCTATGCGGAGGGCGCTTTTAACCTGGAGGCTGGAGTAAAGTCCTGGAGGGGAGTAAAATCCCATTTGAGGTGTGGACTGACCATAAAAATGTGAAGGCTTTGAACCCCACTTTCCCCAAGCAAGTCCGGTGGGTTCAGTATTTCAACCGGTTTGATTTTGAGTTGAAGTACATCCGGGGGGGGGAGAGAATTTCCTGGCAGATGCCTTGACCTGTATGCCTCAGTATAAGAGGAGGAGGAGGAGGTGGACTCCATCATCCCTACGAGGCAGCAACTGGTGCAACCCACCCTCAAGCAGCACGAGAAGAAAAAGGGCTCACCTCCTATCGATGCTTTTGCCCAGCAACTGAAACAGGAGCTACAAATTGTTATGTCGTTTGGGGCTCATCAAAAAGAACTGACCCTGAGGCAGGGGTTGGCGTGGAAGGGGGACAAGCTGCATGTCCCAGACAACTTGCTATAAATTTTGCAACGTAGCCATGATACCAGACAAGCTAGCCACTTGTATTCCTAAAGATTTTACATATAACCAACCATCAATTCTGGTGACCAAAGATGAATAATGATATTGAGAGCTACGTGTAAAGCTGTGCTGTATGTGCAGCCAGTATGAGGATGCCAGGAAAGAGTCGGGTGTTATTGCAGCAGGTTGCCAATCTGACCAGAACCTGGGAGGAGATAGCCATGGACTTCATTGTGGAACTACCTGAGAGTGGGGGGAACACCGTGATTTGGATTGTCGTGGATCTGTTCTCCAAGCAAGGTCATTTTGTCACATGCCCTGGACTCCCCTCCACCCAGAAGCTAGCAAAGATGTTTCTGCAGCACATTTACTTACTGCATGAGGTGCCCAAGCGCATCATTTCAGACCGAGGGGTCCAGTTCACTGCTAGGTTCTGGCAGAGTTTATAAGGATGATTGGGTCATCCCAGGGGGTTAATTCAGTTTTTTTATCTGAGTACGAATGGGGCTTTAGAACAAGCCAATGCAAAGGTGGAACAGTACCTGCATTGTTGTGTAAATTACCAGCAATCTAACTGCACAGGGCTCCTGCTGTTTGTTGAGGTGGCATATAATAATGTGGTACACAGTAGCACAGGTTTCACCTCTTTCAAAGTAGCCATGGGGTTAGAATTTGCACCTATGCCAGAATGCCCTCAGGAGCCTACCTCCTCGGGCACTTTAACTGTTGGGTAAATTCATTTCAGAGTGTCTGGAGCAATGTAAAGAAAGTTTTAACCAAAGCAAAAGAGAGCCAGAAGAAACACACAGATAAAAAGCAAGCTCCCCAAGGGACATTCCATGTAGGAGATAAAATGTATCTGTCTACAAAGTATCTAAAGTTGAGACAATCTTGCAAAAAGTTAAGTCCAAAGTACAAGGGGGCCTTTTCCTATTGTAAAAGTCATCAATCCGGTTACAGTAAAGTTAAAACTGCTCAAAATATTGGGTAAGGTACAGCTGTGTTTGACTGCAGCTTACTGAAGCCATTTGAGGGTTCTAGGATGAGGCCAGTTGAGAGAGAAGCCCCTGGTCTGATAATGGTGGGAGCAAGACACACTATGAAGTAAAGTGGATCCTAGACTCTAGGATCCACAAAGGGAAGTTACAGTACTTAATCCAGTGGAAGGGTTATCCAATCTCAGAGGCTAGATGGAAAAAAGCCCCTAACATTAAGGCGGATTGATTAGTAGAGAAATTCCATAATAAGTACCCCCAGAAACCAGGACCCCCACAAGAGAAGTAATGTGTGCTTATTGTTTTTCAGGTTCCTTCCATTTTCTAGGGAGCCAGCCTATTAAGCTTCAAAGAAACTTTATTCTGCTTCAGCCATTGTTGTTTCTTAGCTTGCCAACAGACCCAGGGGGGAAGGGAGATGAATGGAATGTGCATTTGCAGCTGTGAGCTGTGAAGTCTGGGAATCAAGGCCATTTGGATTATTTATGAAGTAACAAAAGATTTCTCTCATAACAATTGTCTGATGTTTAATTGGGGAATGTGACTTGCACTGTCAGGGGAAAGGGGAGTTTCTATACTTTTAATTTACTGTTCTGTTGCCAGTTTAACAAGAGCTGGCTTTTTACTCATCAGTGCCAATATGCTGTACTCAATAAAGTTTTGCATTAGAGATTGGAATGTCTCAGATGTTCTTACTTCATTGGGATCATCAGACAGAACCTTGATACAATGTTGAGAAGGAATTATATTAGACAAATTACTCTTTCTCTCACTCACACACAAAAGGATTTGCTGGTTTCTTGAGTTTGCCTTATTGGTACTTTGAATAAATGAAAAAAAAAAACTTATTTTGGTATAGTGATTTTCAGAGAAATACCCAGAATCATCATAAAGTGAGTGTGTAAGATGGGTGGTTATGTATATTGATTGAACAAATGAATGAGTGAATGAATGAATATATATGCTTCCCCATGACAATTGGAAAACCTGATATAAAATGTTTACAGAATTCCTTTGCATAAAAAATACATATAAAATATAGCAATGCAATAACTTGCAATAAATCTAATACTAAAGTTGCAGACTAATATTAAGGCAAAATAAATGTAAAATGAGAAAAATGAGAAACACTGAAAATGTTATAATACATGTCAATGCCCAAAGGAAATATTGGGGACAGTAGGTTGATGAATGAGATAACACCATGGACCATTTCCTTCATGCTTTTTTACTGAGTGAGCAATAAACATGTTTCCTGCCCTTACTGGTATGTAAATTAAACTTACCTCATTCTCTGTCTTAGCCTCTGCTTGTGCCTTCCAAAAGTCTGTGGAAAACAAAATGTTTTGTTCTGTTTACTGTAAATCTTTCAAGATACTGACCATTGATTGTACAACTGAAGTAATTTGGTTTTTTAAAATGCTTTCTTTTTAAGGATTTTATCTCCTTCGGCTCTGGAGAGCCACCAGCCTCTGAATTCCATTCTTTTGTGTTGTATCATAACAACAGTCCCAGGTGGGCTGAACTGCTGAAACTACCTATTCCAGTGGATAAATTCAGGGGAGCACACCTTCGGTTTGAATTCCGCCACTGTTCCAGTAAGACCTATTCAGAAGTGGTAGTGCTTTGAAATTACAATCTACATTTTTTCAAATGATCTTTGTACTTGCTGGTTGCTACCTTATAAATGAGAGCTAGTATAGGAAAGGCTCTCATACAAGCATCACAATAAAAAAACCAAGTACGCACTGAAAACAGCAGCTTTGCATTAGAATATTCTGTAAAATAGTATGGTCGTCTGTAATTGAAGATTAATTATGCTTTTAAACACTAATGATCCAAGAGGCAAATATACAGATAGTCCCAAACTTACAACTGGTTGTTTAATGACCGTTGGAAGCTACAATGGCCTTGGAAAGAGTGCTTCTATCTGTTGTAAAATGTTGTGCATCTCCTGGCAGTCACATAAAGGATGCTTGGCAACCTGTTCACACTTACAACTGGTTGTAGATTGAAAGAGAAATGGAAGAGTCACTGAAATTGGATTAAAATCTCTTGCCAGTTTAATTCAGAAAAGAGAAAAAAGTTGCCAAAAGGAAGATGCAAAATGTTAGAAAATCATGGCTTCTTTTATTTAAAAAAAATCCTTTTGATTTTTAGTGAATGGGAATGGTTGGGGATTTACCTTTCTTTTCCTTTTCAATCTCTTTTATTTCCTAAAGTCACAAGGTTTTGTATAGAATCCCCTATGCTACTAGGACCATTTAATTATTTTAGTGAACTGAATACCTAAATTTCTAGTTGGCCATTATACTTTCAACATATCTTTTTAGTGAAAAAGATTGTGGATATAAATATTAACATATTTAATTTAATAGCAGTGTGTCTTATGCATGTAGAAACAAGATGGGCCATGGTGGCACAGTTGTTATAATGCAGTATTGCAGGCTAATTTTGCTGTCTGCTGGTGGCCAGCAATTTGGCAGTTGATTCTCACTGGCTCAAGGTTGACTCAGCCTTCCATCCTTCGGAGGTTGGTAAAATGAGGACCCATATTATTGGGGGCAGTATACTGACTCTGTAAACCAAGGCTTTTCAACCTTTTCACCCATTGTACCACTTTTAGGATATGGCAATATCCGAGTACCATCAGTCGCCTAGCAAGGTGTTAAAAACTTGATGACCCCCGCAAAAAAAAGGAAAAAAGTGATAAAGCACAGGTAGTCCTCGACTTACAACAGTTCGTTTAGTGACTGTTCAAAGTTACAATGGCACTGAAAAAGTGCCCCCAAGCCACAGCTGAGCAAGACACCTGCCTGCCTGCCCTCCTGGCGGCACGCTTCCTCCTGTCCAAGGTTTTCATTGTTGTGAGCATGTAAGGACCCACCCCACTTTGCATCTTAAGAAGACAGAACTCTTGGAATAATTCTTCCAACAGGAATCCTTTATTAAGAGAAAATGGTTGCAGGCATGCTAGACAGGACTTGGGGTTCAAGCTCTCCATTCAAGGTTTTAAGGGGTTCCCCAGTAGTCCCACCCAATCAACCCCCCTTCCAGTGATAGTTTCAAGTATCACAATTCCACCCCCTTTCTTCTTTCTTCCATCTGGATGGAGACTTCAGGTAACTACATGAAAGGCAAATACCCTGCTTTGTTATGATAAGGTCCTCTAGTGCTAACGCTTTGATGTTACAATAAACACACATTCAGCATTCAGCTCTTTGAAGTGTACTGAAGGAAGTGAGGGCCATAAAGCCCCTTTGTTCTCCCCCTTCTCTCCCTCTTAGGGCAGAATCCAAAGAAGGCAGAATTGGGAGTTTCTATATTTGATAATTAAAGATGAAATATGATTGGATTCTGACATCCGGCCCCTCTTAAAAAATAAGAGAGATCCACCTGAAAGAAAACACAAGTATAAAATTTAGTTAGGCTTGTTAGGATACTCTGTGTGAAACTTCTTCAATAGCTTCGGGGCTCTGACATGACGTTTATGGACCCACTCATTTTGTGAGGGAGGGAGGTGTTTCCAGGCAACTAGGTACTGAGTTGCTCCATGATATCTCCTAGAGTCAAGGACTTCCTTTATTTCGAAGTGTTGTTCACCCTCCACCATGATTGGAGGTGGTGGGGGGGGATTTTTGGCCGTAGAGGTGACTGATGCTCTCTTTTCAGCAAGCTGCAATGAAAAATTGGTGTATTTGCCTGAGATTTTTGGGTAATTCTAATTCTACTGTTACTGGATTTATGATCCTTTTAATTGGAAAAGGTCCTATATATTTTGGTCCAAGTTTTTTACAGGGCTGTAGGGACTTTAGGTATTTTGTAGATAAGTACACCATTTCTCCTATAATGAATGGTGTAGGCTCAACCCTTTTTTTATCGGCTTGTGTTTTATATGCCTGCCTAGCTTCATCTAGTGCTTTTCTGACTATTGGCCAGGTGTTTTGTAATTTCTCCATCCATTCTTTCAGCGAGGGGATCGTTGGTTCGTTTGGGGTTAATTCTGGCATGGGGTTGAAACTTTGACCGGTGGCTATTTGAAAAGGAGTGTAACCTGTGCTGGAGTGGACTGCATTATTGTAGGCAACTTCTGCAAAAGGGAGTAAGTCCGCCCACTCGGTCTGCTGGAAACTAAGAAAACATCTTAAATATTGCTTAAGTACGGAGTTCATTTTTTCAGCCCCCCATTTCCTTGAGGGTGGTGGCTAGATGTCAGTCCCTGAGTGGTTCCTAAGAGGGATAAAAATTCCTTCCAAAATGCAGACGTAAATTGCACCCCCCTGTCAGAGATGATGCGTTGGGGTGCCCCATGCAATCTGTAAATGTGTTGGATGAAAAGTTTTGCTAAGGCTTTTGCAGTGGGAATCTTTTGGCAAGGGATAAAGTGCACCTGTTTGGAAAACAAGTCCGTGACCGTCCAGACCACAGTATTCCCATTGCTTTCTGGCAATTCCACTATAAAATCCATGGCTATTTCTCTCCAGGGGGCTGAGGGACTTGCCACTGTTTGCAATAGTCCTGGCACTTTCCCTTGCAACCTCTTTGCCGTGGCACATTTTGGACAACTGGCTATATAACTTTCAATGTCCTTTTTCATGGATGGTCACCAAAATTGCCGTTTAATTAAATGTAAAGTTTTTACAAATCCAAAATGCCCTGCTGATTTTGTGTCATGGCAAAGGTGCATGAAAGTTACTCTTTGAGTTGTTGGTATATATAACTTTTCCCCTACCCAAGGCAACCGTCTCTCATTGTGCACACATTTTTGTTTTTCTGGAACCATTCATCTGTTTCCAAGCTTTTTCTGAATTCAATCCCAGTTTGGCTGTCCAGTTGTGGTTTTATTTTGGCTTGGGTTCTTGTGGTTACTGGTGCTGCCAGTTGTGACTCTGCCATTATTGGTCTAGAGTCTGTGGTTCGTGCGCTGTTATATTGGGGCATGCGAGATAGAGCATCTGCCAGGAAGTTCTTTCTTCCTGGTAAATGTTTGAGCTTAAATTGGACTTGGTGAAAATGCTGGGACCAGCGGGCTTGTTTGGGATTGAGTTTCCTGGAAGTTTTCAGGGCTTCTAAATTTTTGTGATCAGTCCATACCTGGAAGGGGATTTTGTTGCCTTCCAGGAACTGTCGCCACGTGAGTAATGCCCAACGTATCCCATAAGCCTCCTTCTCCCATACGGGCCAGCGCTGTTCTGTTTCCGTGAGTTTCTTGGATGTATATGCACAGGGTTGCAATACTGCATCATCATTTTCTTGTAATAGCACAGCCCCCACTGCCACATCACTTGCATCTGCCTGTATTATGAAGGGCTTGTCCATGTCTGGGTGCCTTAGTACTGGTTCGGCAGAAAAAAGTCTCTTTAGTCTCTCAAACGCTGCTTGGCACTCCATTGTCCATGTTAGTGGCTGGCTAGGTTTTACTGAGGATGCTCCCTTCGTTTTTAGTAAGTTAGTGAGGGGCAAGGCTATCTGGGCAAATGAGGGGATGAATTGGCGGTAAAAGTTTGCAAAGCCCAGGAAACTTTGTAGTTGCTTTCTTGTGCGGGGTGGTGCCCAATTTAGTACTGCTTTGACCTTCTCTGGGTCCATTTCAATGCCCTGTGGGGATATGCGATAGCCTAGGTAGTCTATCCTTTCCTGGTGGAATTCGCATTTTGAGAGTTTGGCATATAGGTGAGCGGCTCGCAGGTTCTTTAAAACCGCTCTGACAAGTTTGACGTGTTCTTCTTTTGTTTCAGTAAAGATAAGAATGTCGTCCAAGTAAACAAGGACCCCCTTAAACAGGTGCTCCCTTAGCACGTCATTGATTAATTGCATAAAGACTGCAGGGCCCCCTTGTAATCCAAATGGCAAGACTTTGAATTGATAGCACCCCATGGGGCAGTTAAATGCAGTCTTCCATTCGTCCCCTTCCTTGATTCTCACGCGATAGTAAGCTTCCCTTAAGTCTAGTTTAGAAAAAAATTTCCCTTTCGATAGGTGTGACAGCATGTCTTTCATGAGGGGCAGCGGGTATAGGTTGCTTTCACTGATTGTATTCAGGGCCCTATAATCCACGCATAAACGTAAAGAGCCATCCTTCTTCTCTCTAAAAAGGACCGGGGCAGCCACTTTAGGCTTGGCTGGCTCAATGAAACCTCTCTCCAGGTTTTTTTTTATAAATCTTTCCATTTCCTCCTTCTCCTTTGGGCTCATGGAGTATAATCTGGGCTTCGGGAGTTTTGCCCCAGGCTTGAATTCAATGGTACAGTCTGTGGGTCGGTGGGGGGGAAGCTCATTCGCCCTCTCCTCACTGAAGACTTCAGCAAGGTCCCTATATTCCTCTGGTATTTCTGTTAATCTTTTTTCCTCTCCTATGGATGCTTTTTCTATTCTTGATTCTGGTAGCCTCCCTTGGGGTTTTAAGTCCATAGGGTCCCCCTTCGGGAATTTGATTTCTGTCGTCCTCCAATTTACCCAGGGGTTCCATTTTTTCAACCATTCCATCCCTAGAATCATTGGGCATTCCATACCTGGGGTCACCACAAACGTTAAGTCCTCTTCATGGTTGCCCAGGGAGAGATGTATTGGCAAAGTGGCTAGGGTAGCTGGCACCCCCCCTGCTATGGATCCATCTAGCTGGCCAAATGAGATTGGTTGTTCCAGTCTCCTGGATGGGATGCCCAGATTCCCCACTAGTGTTGGGCTAATGAGGCAGCGGGTGCAGCCAGAGTCTATTAAGGCTTTCACCTTCACAGCTTCGGGCATGGGGGGGATTAATATAGTCACTGTTTTGAAGATGGGTGTGATGCATCCACTTACCAGGGGTTCGCCCTCCGAGCTGTCATCTGAGGCATCCACCGGCCCTGTGGTGTAGGCTGGAGTCCTTTCCCCTTGGTGAGCAGAGGTGGGGGTTTCTGCAATTTCCATCATTCTCATGGCCGTTTCTTTTGGCTTAGCTGAATACTTTCCGGGTTTGTTGATTGGGGATCTGTCTGGGTTGTGCTGGGGGGCCTTTGAGCGGCATTCTACAGCTCGATGCCCTTCTCTTCCGCACTTGAAACATCCCATTTGCTTCTTGGCTGTATCCGATGATTTCACCGGTTGGTGTGTCAGCTTAGGCGGGGGGCGGCTCCATTGTTTTCCTCGGCGGTGCCTCTTCAATATGTCGATCTCTGCTTCCTCTGCCAAGACGTACCATTCCTGAAGTCGATGTGGGTCCCCTCGGGGCAGGCAAGCATCATATAGATCATAGTTTAGTCCGTCTTTGAAATGGCCAAGGAGGATGTCTTCTGGCCAATTCAGTTTGCTGGCAATGGCCCGGAATTCTTGTGTATACTCAGCCACTGGGCGTTTGCCCTGCCTCATCGTTGTTATTCTTTCACGGGCTTTGCGATCAGCCAGGGGGTCTTCAAATCGTCTTCTCAAAGAGGACATGAAACGGTTGAAGTTACTGAGTTCTGGGGCATTGGAGTCATGCAAGTTCACTACCCAATCCGCAGCTGGTCCATCCAGGGCAGATTGCACGATCCGGATGCGGGCTTTGTCGCTGGGAATATCCTGCCCATATTCCTCCATGTAGCTGAGGACTTGGGTTAGGAAAAACCCCAAGCGTGTTGGCTCCCCTTTGAATTTCACTTCCAACGGTGGACGTCTTGGAATGGATCGGTGCCTCCATTGTTGGTGGTAGTGCCTTCCGTCCAGATTGCCATCTGTGGTCTGGTAGGGGGTGGGGGCTCCTGGATCAGTAGATGTCCCTGGGGTTGCAGGTTCCATGTCCCCCTCGGTGTCTCTCCCTTTGCGGCTCCAGGAACTGGGGCGGCCGTAGGGCTCAGTATTCTCCTCTCCTAGGGAGCTGAGAGTTCTCTTCATCAGGTCAATAGCTTTCTCTAGGATCCAGTCTGAGTACGGTGCCCAGCTTCCTCCCTCTTCACTTGCGTGCAGGGATTTCTCCATCTCCTGCTTCCATTCTGGTTGCTTGGTCCCCCGTCTCAGGGTCACCTTTCTTGATTCCTTTCCCCACTCACTTTTCTTTCCAACGCCCATCGACCAGCGAGGCTTGTGGTCCTGTGTCTCCACCACTTCTCCTGAGGAATCTGGCCTCTCGGATCCCAACATCTGGCAAGGTTCCAACTGGGTCAGCGGCTCTCTTTCCAGGGAGTTTTCCCCCTCTCTTGCTCCATTGTCTGACATGGTAAATTTTTGCAAAATCCCCCGGCAAGGGTCTTCCTTCCAGGTGGATTAATTTTGCAAGTCCTGTCTAATGTAAGGACCCACCCCACTTTGCATCTTAAGAAGACAGAACTCTTGGAATAATTCTTCCAACAGGAATCCTTTATTAAGAGAAAATGGTTGCAGGCATGCTAGACAGGACTTGGGGTTCAAGCTCTCCCATTCAAGGTTTTAAGGGGTTCCCCAGTAGTCCCACCCAATCAACCCCCCTTCCAGTGATAGTTTCAAGTATCACAATTCCACCCCCTTTCTTCTTTCTTCCGTCTGGATGGAGACTTCAGGTAACTACATGAAAGGCAAATACCCTGCTTTGTTATGATAAGGTCCTCTAGTGCTAACGCTTTGATGTTACAATAAACACACATTCAGCATTCAGCTCTTTGAAGTGTACTGAAGGAAGTGAGGGCCATAAAGCCCCTTTGTTCTCCCCCTTCTCTCCCTCTTATGGCAGAATCCAAAGAAGGCAGAATTGGGAGTTTCTATATTTGATAATTAAAGATGAAATATGATTGGATTCTGACAGAGCATTTCTGTTGAGGATTGGCAGCGGAGGTGGGGTGGGGGGTGTTTGGTTTTTATTCCCCTTGTCTGCTGGGTGGTTGAGCAGGTTTTGGTCACTTCACATGACCCTGGGACACTGTGATCGTCATAAATACGAATCAGTTGCCAAGCATCTGAATGTAAATTACAAGACCCTGGAGATGCTGCAACATTCCAGCTGATTGGCACTTCTTCTGATTGGCTCAGCAGAAGCTCCAGGATCAGTGCTGCTTTCCAGCTGGAGCCTGTCGCTGATCCTGACGCTTCCACTGAGCCCTGACAGCCCTGCAGCTCCAGCCGTCTCTCGCTCAGGCTTGTGCAGTGCTGCCACCGGTTCAGCTCATTCCCCTCCCACACTACCACTTTTCTAGGATGGTTGCATACCACCTGCCAGGTGCCAATGTATCACAGGTGGTACCCGTACCGCTGGTTGAAAAGCCCTGCTGTAAACCACTTAGAGAGGGCTGTAAAGCACTGTGAAGCAGTATATAAGTCTAAGTGCTGTTGCTATCGCTATTCATTAAATTATAGGTATAATTGTGTGATCTGGATAAGTATCCTTCCAGATTTGTAAAATTGATTTGCCCTCACATTCTTCTTGCTAGGGCTGAGATAGAAAGTGACTGGCCCAAGGTCCTCCAGCTGGCCACACCAATTGGGTTCTCATGCTGATGGTAGAAATCTTGAATTTAATTGAAGTCAATGGAACTCAAACTGACAATCTCTTAATTGTATTGTGTGATTAATATATCTGTACATTTGATTGATTATATAGCACTGTGGCTTTTAGTTGCAAATATGTATGCAATTTTATGTTATTTTCATTTATGAACTTTCATTCCTAGCTTAGAATGTGGTATATTTTTAATATATATGTGTGTTTCAGCAAAAGAGAAGGGAGAGAAGAAGTTGTTTGGTTTTTCTTTCGTCCCTCTGATGCAGGAAAATGGAAGGACCTTGCCAGATGGCATTCATGAGCTCATTGTGCATAAGGTATTTTCAAAAAGAAGTCAGAAAAAACATAGCTTATTCAGAAAAAATCTTAGATTGATTCAACTGTCAGAAGAATGCTAGATTTGTCATTATATAACATATCCTTTCATCATATCCTTTCCAACTTATGTTGCTGGTTCTTTCTATTACACATGTGTACATGGGCATACATCAATCTGCTCTCACACATGAGGAAAAAGGTGAATATCTGTTCTGTAGATATCAAACTTGGGACATGAAGGATGTGGAAATTTTAGAGCATGGGAAGTAAATATATATAACAAATATTATCAGTAGTTACAGTAAGTATCCTAAAAGCATAGCAAACAATGAAGTTACCTAGAAAGTACATAGGAAGAAAATATTAGAAAAGACAGTTGATTAGCAGTGTAGATCGTTTTTCTAATGGCTTTAGATGACAGTTCTATGCTGCACTTTATTTCATTAGATGTAGTGAGTTAAAATGCAAATTTAATTGTTCTCTCAGTGTGAAGAAAATATAACCGTTCAGGATTCTAGTCGCTACCTCAAATTTCCCTTTTCAAAAGGGCATCTCCTTGCAAACAACCACCAAGCAATTAAATCTACTAAAGAATCTTTCTGGATTACATCTTTCCTGTGTTCAACTAAACTCACACAAAATGGTAAAGTATAATGCATAATACAGTATAGTAGATGAGCTTATTAATATAAGTATACTGTATATACTTGTGGATAAGCCAAGAATTTTAAGTGCCAAAATAGACCCCCAAATCAGATAAGTGATATTTTGGTTAAACTGTGGATAAACTGAACCAGTTCATGTATTTTCATTTAAAAAGTGAGGGTCTGCTTAACCACGGATGTGTTTACGTATAAGTATATATGGGAAATAGAAGTACTAAGAAAGTATTACTGTTTATACCATGGACAAGTCCATTTGTGGAATCTGATATTTTGGTTAAAAATTTGATGGTTGGCTTATTCATGGATAAGCTTATTCGCAGGCATAATACAGTAATACAAACATGTTTTATAATTTAATATTAGCAATATTGATACCAAACATACCTAATAAACCAGGGGTCCCCAACCCCCAGTCTGTGAACTGATACCGGGCCACTGCGTGCAGAAACCGGTCTGCACAAACAAGCAAAGCCCCATCCATGGGATGCAGGCAGCACACAAAACCATCACTCTCCGGTCCACAGAAGAACCTTTCTCCGTGGAACCGGTCCCTAGTGCCCAAAAGGTTGGGGACGTCTGTAATAAACTATTGATTGGTTCAATAGATGAATAAATTATCTGTGGATCTGTTTGGAAGCAGATTAAAAATTTAACAGTTTTAATGTGACAATATTTTTTAAGAAGCATATCTATGGATTATTTTTTAAAATTACCATTCGATGCTTTCTGGTTTTAAAAAATGCCCTTAAAGGTTTTTCAGTTTATTGTCCAAAATGATAAAATATTGTGAGAAATATGAGGACTTCTGAGGACTTTATTATTAAAATTTTGGCATTGAATATAATGCATGACACAGATTTAAATAAATGGAGAAAAATACAGTTTCATGTTTAACAGTGCAATTCTATTTCTCCTCTCAGAAGTAAAATGCATTACATTCTTAGGGAATTACAGTGAATAAAATGAATGTTACATTTCAGGTGCCATAATTTTTTGGATAGCATGTACATATTTGCAGCTTAAAACTTGGGCTTGACTTAAGGGAATTTAGATATACAGTATAATCTTTTTCTTTTGGCTATTTCTTAAATTAATGTATATACAATAAATCACGGGTGTTAAACTGCCGGCCCACAGACCGGATGCATCATAGCGAAACCACATCCACCGCATTGCCGGCAATGGCAAAAAAGTTGCGATAGGTCATGACACATCAAGTGACATTGTGAGTTTGACACCCTTGCAGTAAATTGTTTGCTTATAACTGTATTTTTGCTAAACTTTATTTTGTAGGAGATATGCTTGACCTTCTTAAATGGCGAGCTCACCCAGAAAAAATTGCAGGTTGCCTCTCAAAACTGAAAGAAATTGATGGTTCTGAAATAGTGAAGGTGAATACAATTGGCACTGTTTATTTTTCTCACCATGATAAAATATAAGAGTAACATTTTCAAAGGATATAGTTCTTAAATTTCTTTTCCTTCACCTAGTTTCTCCAAGATACACTAGACACTTTATTTGGGATTTTAGATGAAAATTCTCAAAAGTATGGCTCTCAAGTATTTGACTGTTTGGTAAGGCATACTTTATTACATACTCATTGTGTTTGTTTTGATTTTTGAAATTGGCTAAAATAAACTAATATGCATTTTTTTTCATAGGTTCACATAATTAATTTGCTGCAGGACAGCAAGTTTCATCATTTTAGGCCAGTTATGGATACCTACATTCAAAGTCATTTTGCAGGAGCTCTTGCTTACAGGTAGAAAGGTTTCAATGCTTTGAATATAGATGCAATCAGATGTTTGGCACTTGTCAGCAACTTTAGTTCAAATGTGTTGCAGTCTCCATGGTTAAAACCAAAGTGTGATAAACTGATATTTTAAATTAATCGTACTTTGTTGTAAAAATTGATCTGAGCTATTACATTTGGTTATCAATACTAAATCATCTGACATATAATTATTTTGCTTTTTATAAATCTAAGTTCATACTGTATGTATCTTTAACTGTTTTCTGAGTTTGGAAAATGCTTAATATTAAACCAAATTCAAACAGAGAAGAGGTGGTGGATTTATTCATCAAAGCATCTGAGGGCACAACAAGAAGCAATGGGTAGAAGATTGTTAAAGAGAGATCCAAACTGGAACTAAGGAAAAATTTCCTTACAGAACAATGAATCAATGAAATAGAAGTTTTTAAGAAAAGTGGACAGCCATTTATCTGGGATGATATAATATCTCCTGCCTTGGGCAGTAGGTTGGACTAGAAGATCTCCAAAGTCCCTTCCAGCCCTATGATTCTAGGATTCTAAGTAGTTTTCCCCTAATTCTCAAAGGATTTATTAATAGCCCTTAAACCACATGGTTTGAATATGAATGAGTAAATTAGAACACAAATCTGAGAGTACAAAAGGAACGATGACGGATCAAGGAAAGAATTTAGTTACTAGGCCAGTGCAGCATTTTGAATTTGGAGGCTTGGATTTGGGTAATGCTCACAAGGCAACTGTCTTAAACATCATATAGCAACTGTAGAAAATACCTATTGGAAGCTATAAAAAATTGTGGCTGCTTTTAAGGAGTTGTGGAAAGGTACTGCATTTGTATTCCATGTGTGGTGCAGGACATTTTTGCCTTTGAGCTGCTGTGCTGCACTAATAAACACCCGACCATTTATGGTCTTATACTTTAATGGGCTATGATTGTTACAGGTAGTGCTTGACTTACGGTTGGTCATTTACTGTAGTAACCATTTTACAACAGATCTCTTCCCAAAGTACTTAGGATCCAGATACGAAGTTCCTATAAACGCACCACCTGCATTCATGTGATTGCATTTTGTATACTTGGCAAAATTGCTGCATAGCAAACAAAGGATTTGCTTAATGACTGTCATACCTGCTTTATGACTGCCACATTAGTTTAATAACTGCCACAAAAAGGGTCATAAAATTGGATCAGTCACATGATGACACTCTTTACAACTGTTGTAATTTATGACCACAAGTGGAAAGCTCCATTATGTTCATATGTCAAGGACTACCTGTATACTTAAGCTGCGACAGTGAAATATATTTTTCTTCTCCATATCTTCACTTGGTCTGCTTTGTTTGGTTTAATTTGCCTCCTTCAGAATTAATGATCTGATGCAATTCTCAAGGATCTTGAGAATCTCTCCCTTTATTTCTATGTAAGATCTTTCATTGAACCCAATATTGTATTAATTGGACTAGAGGTGGCGCAGCAGTTAGAGTGCAGTACTGCAGGCCACTTTAGCTGACTGTGTTCAGCAGGTCAGCGGTTCATATCTCACCGGCTCAAGGTTGACTCAGCCTTCCATCCTTCCGGGGTAGGTAAAATGAGGACCCAGATTGTTGGGGGCAATGTAAATATATATATACATTGCTTACTGGTGTACACCGCTTAGAGAGTGCTTGCACTTAAAGCAGTATATAAGTCTCATAAATAAATAAATAAATAAATTGAAATGTTCTCTCTAGAAATGTGTGCAAATTTTCATAGCTAATGGAGCATAATCATTAAACAAATATCTACTGTATACCAAATCAGATTATTGGCCCACATTGTTTCAAGATAAAATATTATTTTATATGAAAGGTATATACAGTATAGCTGTTCTAATGTCTGCCCCCGTTCAAGGCTATGTTATGTTATGTTATGTTATGTTATGTTATGTTATTATTTTACATTATATTATATTATAATTGTTGAGTCCTCGGCTTAATGGCGAATGAGCACAGAACATCTCGTAGTGTCAAGAAGTCTTTATTGTAGTCTCTTCTGCTCCGTTACAGCTCTGAGGCTCGCAGGCCTCTCTGCTTCCCTTAATAACGTTCCCCGGGCAGAATGGCAACAATTAGGCGCGCTCCGCGGCTCGCGCATGCGCGCGAAGCCGGCGCCAGCCAGTCTGGTCCCGGGCAGCTTGCAACTGCCCGGGACCATTGCAATGTCCCGAGCCTGCCTTTGCAGGCTCAGGATACAACACCCCTTCCCCCCTGGCTAAGACTAATAAACTATATGAATAGTTACACGTGACCTCAACACGAGCGTGGTGTGCCAACCCATGCTCCAAATGGTATCGGGCTATTGTTCTGGGATTAATAACCAATGCCCGTATTTCCAGTTTTACCAACAGCAGACACCCTCTGCTTTGCCAGCAGAGTTACAAAGTCCTCAAGATACTTAGGAGATCTCTTTGCTCTCTGTGACCTCCTTAGAATCTGAGAATCCCCAATTTCTTTTTGCACAGAGGATGCCCCCTCTTTCAGACCCTGGTGGTCCCCATGGACCGTGCCCCATTGCTTAGTCTGCTTGCTTGCCCACTGGGCTCGTCAGACCAGGACTTTGTTCTCCCAATAACCTGGTTGACCTGCCTAATTGCAGGCTCCCTGGCCCCTCTATAAAACTGCCATTGTTAGGCAACTCTGTAGAGTCTTCCAGGCCCACACTGGACCTATCAAGGGACTGCATCCCTTCGCTCCCCAGCCCCGTAACGGGACTGTCTGGGGTTTCAGTATTTCCCCAAAACTCAGTTGCCCCCCCATCTGTGCCGGAGTGTCAGAATTGGGATTTGCCTCTCTGACCACCTCCCTGTGTGAATGCCTCCTTCTGGAAACAGTAGCAGTACTGGGCCAACTAGACTGTTTGTGTGCCAGCTCTCTTGCAATGTTTGAGTTATTAGGATGCTCCCAGTTATTCTCCCTGACTGGAGTGCTGAATGGTATTGGTGAATGATGAGTATGCCCCCTGGGTGACTCCCTGGCTGGAGTAGGCACTGGTGCCTGTGTGCTTTCTGGTTCCCATGGATTCCTGTTTGGAACACTTGCGGAACCTTGGAATAGGCCGTCTGTGGCCTCTCTGTTGGGGCCCGGCTGCTGCCAACACCCATGCCTTTGCCCATAGTGGTCCCCCTCCCCCCCTGGAAAAGGCCCAGGAGTTTCCGAGGGTAAGTCCAGTCTTCTACGCAGCTGGTCGATATGCCGCCGAAGGACACAACCGTCATTCAATGAGACCTCGTATGACAAAGGGCCAGTAACCTTGCATACTACAGCAGGAACCCACAAGTGACCAGGCCCATAGTTACGGGTCCATACCGGGGCACCCACTTGTAGATACCTCGGTCCCCTGGGTTGTGTAACCTTAGGAGGCAGTCTGTCCGGGTGCAACCTATCAAGTTTAGTAATCAGTTTGCACCCCCAGCGAAGTTCAGCTGGGCTTTTCCCAGTAGAAGTTGAAGGTGTGGTGTGGTACGCAAGAAGAAAGTCTGCCAACCTGTGGTGCCAGTCCCCATAGGTCAGTTTCTTTAAAGCATCCTTGGTGATGCGGACCATCCGTTCAGCCATACCATTGGTGGAAGGGTGGAATGGTGCAGAGGTGGCATGACGAATCATGTTGGCCTGTAAGAAAGCTTGAAATTTGGAAGAGGTGAATTGAGGGCCATTGTCAGACACCAAAACATCCGGAAGCCCATGTGCAGCAAAAATCCCCCTCAGTACTTGAATGATCTTGGCAGTGGTGGTTGAAGAGACAGGTACAACCTCAAGCCACTTTGAAAGCTATCAACAAGGACCAAGAAGAATTGACCCTGAAAGGGCCCAGCATAATCAATGTGCACTCTAGACCAAGGTAACTGTGTTTCCTCCCATCTATGTACAGGAGCCTGGGGCATTTCTGGGCGTGAGCGCTGACACAGGTGGCATGCATGCACCTTAGCCTCTATTTCCTTGTCTAACCCAGGCCACCACAAATGGCTGCGCGCAAGCGCCTTCATTCTTACAATGCCAGGATGGCCCTCGTGAAGGGAGCCAAGACCCTAGACCTCATTGAGGTAGGAATAACAACTCTGCTGCCCACAGCAGACAACCCTGAAAAGTGGATAACTCATGTTTCTTAAGCCAGAAACTCTGAAACCCAGTGCCTGGACAACTCTCTGGCCATCCAGACAAAACCCATGATAGTACACGAGTGAGTGTGATGTCTGTGGCTGATTCAGCAGCCACATCCCTGGCATTTAAAGGTGACTCAGGCAGGATGTTGATGGCAGGGGCAGGGTCAGCCTCTACCACTTGTAAGGGTAATCTACTGAGGCCATCAGCATGGCCCATTTCTTTGCCAGGTTTGTGAACTAAAGAAAAATCATAGGCTGACAGAAAGATAGACCATCTCAGCATTCTGTGGGAGATGATATGGGGGGTTTGTTTGTTTGTAGTAAACAACCCCAACAAAGGCTTATGGTCAATGTAGACCGTGAAATGTCTGCCATATAAAAAATCATGGAATTTTTTAATCCCAGCAACAACAGCTAAGGCTTCCCTGTCTATCTGGGCGTAGTTTCGCTCAGCAGAAGACAAGGTTCTGGAGTAATATGCAACAAGAACCTGAGTTCCATCAGGTCTTAGATGGCTAAGTACTGCTCCCACCCCATAAGGGGAAGCATCACAAGCAATGCACACAGGAAGAGTTTCATTAAAATGTGCAAGCACAGTATTGGATGTAAGTAAGGCCTTAACCTCATTGAAGCTTGCTTCATGTGCCTGTGACCACTGCCACACTGCCTGTTTGTCCAGAAGCCTATGAAGTGGTTCAGCTACATTAGCTTTATTAGGAATGAATGCATTATAGAAATTCAAGAGGCCCAGAAAAGCTTGTAGTTCAGCTTTGGACCTAGGCCTAGGAGCTTTCATAATAGCCTTTAATTTGGACTCAGCAGGATGAATGCCATTGGCATCTATTTTGAATCCCAGGAAATCTGTAGAAGGCACCCCAATTTTACATTTGTCTTTTTTAAGCTTGAGGCCTGTTTTCCGGAAGCGCAGCAGGACAGCCCTCAATCTCTCAGCTAAATTTTGAGTGGAGTCTCCAGCTATTAAGACATCATCAAAATAGGGGCAAACCCCTGGTATACCCCTCAAAGTATTTTCCATTATGTTTTGGAAAATTCCAGGAGCCACATTTACTTCAAATTGTAGTCTTTTGACTTTGAATGCCCCCCTTGTGTTACAATGGTTTGTGCTACAGCAGTAGCTTCATCAACAGGAAACTGTTGATAAGCCTGTGCTAAATCTAGCTTTGCAAAAACACGCCCCCCCCCCTTGAGGGAGGCCAGAATATGACTGACTATAGGTACAGGATATGCATGTTGTTGCAATGCCTTGTTTAGAGTGCATTTGTAATCTGCACAAATGCGAATGTCCCTATTAGCCTTAAGAGGCGTGACTATGGGAGTTTCCCAAGGACTTGAGTCAACAGGTTCTAAGACACCTTGCTGAATCAATTTGTCCAATTCAGCATCAATTTTTCCTTTTAAAGCAAAAGGTACTCTCCTTGCTTTTACTCTGATAGGAGTGACAGTGGGGTCTAGCTTTAAGGAAACTGGGGGCCCTTTGTATATACCCAGCTGAGAGCTGAAGACATCTGCAAATTCTTTGCAGACTTCTTGTAGACCTAATGTTTGCAAACTGTTAAGCCCTGTAACTTGTATTCCCAAGGCCTCAAACCAATCAAGTCCTATGAGACTCGTGCGCTCACCCCCAACTACCAATACATCTAATGGACCTTCAAAATCCTTGTATTGTACATTAAGGGTGGCCTCCCCCTTACTACACACCTTGGAGTTTTGAAAGTCTGTTAGAACTATATTGGATGGCCTAAGCTTGGCCTGGAACCCACTGCTAGAGCAAATCTTTCTGAATGTGTGAATGGAAATAATTGAAAGTGCAGACCCAGTGTCTAGTTCTATAACCAATGGAACTCCTTGCAACTTCACCTTAAGTGACAGTTTCTTTTTAAGTGGCTTGTGTGTGCCTGTCCTATAAATGCTTCTTCGTGATGCACAGAAACCCACCCTGTTTTGGCTGGGGACCCTGGTACCTTTCAGGCGCAATTCTTCTCGGGGTTGTACCTTCTGACGGCCCAGACACACAGCTGCTATGTGGCCTTGCTTTCCACATGCTCTACAGATTGCAGAACGGAACCTGCAGTCGGTCCTCTTGTGGCGACCTCCACACCCGAAGCACTTGGGTACAGCTGAAGACTTTTCTTTGCCTTCCTTCTGCTTCCTTTCTTTGGCTGGGTAGAGATGATCCATCTCGTCTTCAGGATCCTCTTCCGAGCTCTCCTGGACTCCCTCATGGTGCACGGAAACAGCTTCTGGAGTGCTCCTGATAGGCCTCATGTTCTTGATTGCCCCACCTGCTGCCTCTTCTGCAGTAACCTCTCTCAAGGCATCTTGGAACAATATGTCTTCCTTTGCAAAAAGTCTCTGCTGCAAGTCTCTGTTCCTAAGCCCACATACAAATCTGTCTCTCAACCTTTCTTCTAAGTCTTTAAACTCACAAGGCTTAGCTGCTGTTCTCAAAGCTGCAATGTATTCTTTAGCTGATTCACCAGCCCGTTGATCCCTCTGTTCAAAAGTATGTCTCCATGCAATAACAGACAACTTGGGCTGAAAATGTTCTTTTAGTAATTTTTTTAAATCTGTGTAGGTGACAGATTCAAGAGGCGCAGGGGCTGCTAAGTTTTCAGCAATTTCAAATGCATCTTGACCACAGACACACAGCAAAGTAGCGGCCTTTAAGCCATCTTCTCTTACTTGGTTTACTCTAAAATAGTTTTCTACTCTGGCCACATAAGACTCCCATCTTTCTGGGTGCATGACATCAATTTCAGAGAGTCTCCCTATCTTCGCCATTTTCTCCTTTGTAAGGAAGGGATCTATCAGCCAGCTTATCTCCAGCGACGCTGTACTGGCAGGCAGGTGCTGAATTTAACGCCGTCTTCCTAGCTGCTCTCAGGACTCCTGGGTAAGCTTACAATTCTTCTTAATTAATTGTAAGACATCCCACCTTCGTTGCCAGTGTTGAGTCCTCGGCTTAATGGCGAATGAGCACAGAACATCTCGTAGTGTCAAGAAGTCTTTATTGTAGTCTCTTCTGCTCCATTACAGCTCTGAGGCTCGCAGGCCTCTCTGTTTCCCTTAATAATGTTCCCCGGGCAGAATGGCAACAATTAGGCGTGCTCCGCGCCTCGCGCATGCGCACGAAGCCGGCGCCAGCCAGTCTGGTCCCGGGCAGCTTGCAACTGCCCGGGACCATTGCAACGTCCCGAGCCTGCTTTTGCAGGCTCAGGACACAACAATAATATTATATTAAATGAAAATACTGAGTGAGGAGAATCGTGTCCTATTCAGATTGTAAGAGCAAAGTTTATCGAGGATGTTTGAGTTTCTGAGATTTGGAGATGAAAACCTTGCACATACTACAATGAGGTTGGCTAATTAACTTTCCTATCTAGAAAGCAAAAAATATTAGTATCTTAAAAGAAATCCAAACTTTATTAGATTTGTGAATATATATGCCAATAATAATGTCCTATTCTCTATATTCATAATTCAACAATTTAAATACAGAAGATTATCCACTGAATAGGTTTTTTTTCAATGACATTTTATTTGAATTGTTTTGCATAATTGCTCATTTCCCTGGAAGTAGCTTATTGAGGCTTAATTTTCAGTAGATATATGTACTGATTAAATTATGAATTATTATTCACGTCAGTTATTAGGCTACTTAACAATTAATTAAGACTTGTAAGTTTTGTTTTATATTTTAGAGATCTCATAAAAGTATTGAAGTGGCATGTTGACCGATTTACTGAAGTAGAAAGGCAAGCACACAATCAGGAAGTATTAAAGGTAATCTCAATTAGCTTTGTGTAACCTGCTTCCATTCAGAGGCTTTTCCTAAATTACAGTTCCTATAATTTCCTGTTAGCGTGGCTCCATTTATCTGACACATCTGACTAGGAGCAGGTTGAAGAAGCTGATTTAATATAATTGTTAATATTGTTTGATCCACCTGGAGCTCCGGTCTCTCCCAGTTCACTCTCGTGGCTGGACATTTAGATGCTCGGTCCCCATGATAGACTGCAGTCTCCAGGTTGACCTAATGTCAGGACTGCCTCTGAACAATCCCTAGGAAAGAAAAGAATTGACTTCATAGATTCAGAGAAAGAATACTTTTACTAGGAAAGAACTGAATGCAAGGTCTGAAGCAAAACATGTGGGAAGAAACAAATTGAAACTAACCCCAGAGCCCACCCCCCCAGTAGCCAGGCAACCAGAGTTCAATTATCAGCCAGGAAGATGTTTTGGGAATGTCTCTGATCCAGATGCATTGCTCCTCCTTCATGCATGCTGATCCCAGGGCAGTTGGCCTTGAAGATGTTAAACAACCCAAGCTGACCTCTCTGAGTCCAGGCCTTCCCATTGCTTCTCAGAAATTCCAGTTTCACCTCTTGTATGCTTCCCCTCCCAAATATTCAATGCTTCCCCCTCCCCATTGTTTCCATGGCAGCTGGGAGTAAGCTTGAAGTAAAGCAATGATGATCAGTCTGACACTGGCTTTCAATTCCCCTTAATTTAGAAAGACTGAACATTAAAAAAAATCAACAAATTCAGCAAAGAGTTGCCCTTTTGTGATATGAGCTATCCATTTTATATTTTAGGCTATATACTATTTAACTAGTGCTCTTAGAAAAATATTTATTATTTATAAGAGGGAATGATATAAAATCACACATTTTATTCTATAGGCCCAAGAATATATATTTAAATATATAGTTCAGTCTCGGAAGCTATTCTCTCTTGCTACTGGTGGACAAAATGAGGAGGAATTCTGCTGTTGTATTCAAGAGCTTTTGATGTCAGTACGATTTTTCCTTTCCCAAGAAACCAAAGGAATCAATGCTTTATCTCAAGCCCAAGTAAGTTGTGCAAAAATACTGCCTTACATGATTACTTCTGTTTTTCACATTGCTTCTGTGCATTGTAACTGAAGTATAAAAACATAGTCAGTGTTTAAATGTGATATGTTAATGTTTCTGATCTATTTTCAGCTGTAATGACATTCACATATTAGTAACAAAAGTTGGATTAAACATCTGACAGTACTGTTTTTCTGTATGAAGTTTTTGGCTAAATTAACAAGCTATAGAATTTTTTGTTTCCAGTTGTTTTCCATGATTCAGATGCAGCTTTTGCAGTTATTTTTTTGTTTTGTTTTTTAATTCTAGTCCTTCTCTATTTTCACCATAGTCCTTGGATGTCTCATATTCATTTAAAACTGCAAATTAATTCACAATAATATTATTTATATTCTTTTTTTTCCCTTGGAAAAAACTATTAAGAGCAAATTTTAAATATCTGTTTTCTTGGAAAAGAGAAAAATTATAATTTTTACAATTAAATTCAAATAAAGATTAAATTCCTTTTTCTGTTTGAAGATTTGTAATATACTTAGCTTTTTCTTGGTTTGTTCCCAGGCAATCTTTCTCAGTTCCTTCCCAGCTGTGTATTCAGAATTGTTAAAGCTCTTTGATGTGAGAGAAGTAGCAAATTTGGTGCGTAATACTCTAGGGAGCTTGCCAATCATTACAAATGCGGATGATTCTCTTCAAGCAGTGAAACTTCAGTGCATTGGAAAAACAGTGGAAAGCCAATTGTATACCAATCCAGGTAGAAAACCAAATACCATTCCTAATTAACTAATATTGAAATAGTTCCTGGCACATGCTGATTGTGTATAAAACAGATAAAAATTAATAACATTTGGACTTTACACCAAAGTATGGATGGTGAATCCCTTGAATCACTTTTTGCAGGACCAGAAGTTCAGCAGTCTAATTATTTAAGTGTTGTAAGCTGCCCAGAGTTACTTTCATATGAGGTGGCAGCTATACAGATATGATAGATAGATAGATAGATAGATAGATAGATAGATAGATAGATGATAGATAGATAGATAGATAGATAGATAGATAGATAGATAGATAGGTAGGTAGATAGATAGATAGATAGACAGGTAGGTAGGTAGGTAGGTAGGTAGGCAGGCAGGCAGGCAGGCAGGCAGGCAGGCTTAGGGCTCTGTCTTCCTGTCTGTCTGTCAGAAAGATAACTCTCCAAACAGAAAGGAACCAAATTTGGTATGGTGAGAGAAGCCTGGACAAATAAAAATGGTCATGTTTGGCCAGGTACTACGAATAAAAAAAGTGCAGGAAAAAAATTTCTCTTTGCAGCCATAATGGACCACATCTCAGAATGCTTCCAACTTCTGAACTGCTTTCCTTCTCTTTTCTGTTCATAAGACCTAAAATGGAGCATACATAGCCTTCTCTATACTCATCTCAGGGATACAGATTCAATACAGAGTGCAGAAACATACATGTAGAAGCAATATGTATACAACATGTGGATGACTACATTTGTAGACTGATCAAAAAGCTTTGGGGAAAATATCTTTCTGTTCTAAAACTATTTATCTGCTAGTCCAGTGATGGCAAACCTTTTAGAGACCAAGTGCCCAAACTGCAACCCCAAACCCTCTTATGCATCGTTGGGTGCCGGGTGGGTGTGGCCATTATCTGGGTGTGGCCCATTGGGTGGGCATGGTTGCAGTGGTAACAGCAGACTGGGTGGGACTAAAAAGTTCAATCAATCAATTCCAACTTTGCCAGATCTTTTTTTTTCCCGCGAGAAGTTGAAATTGACTGATTGAACCTTTTTTTTTGTACACAGCGGCGGAGGCCTAAAGCAAAAAGGTTTTATATAACCCAGCTGAATGCCTAGGACTGGGGCGACGGCACGCGTGCCCACAGAGAGGGCTCTGAGTGCCGCCTCTGGCACCCGTACTATAGGTTCGCCACCACTGTGCTAGTCAGACTTGTATAGTATTGAAGGGGAGAGGAACATGTTTTGGGGTTTTCTTTGCCAGAAGTGTAGAGATACATAGAGTTGCAGGATATAACATTTGATGTTCTGTGGTACCGTACCAAGTTGGCTTTGCCCTGCTGCCGAAATTGATTTATAGCTCCCCATTAGCTTTCACTGAATTTACTCAAATTCAGATGTTTATAAATGTTTTTTTTTGAAGGTACTGAATATATTCCATAGTAAAGTCCAAAGACAATAAACAATAGTCAAATTTCTTTTGAAGAATGTACTCATCCAGGCAATATTCTCATTATTAAAATATTTATGCCTGAATAGTACATCACATTAAAAAAGGAATATATTCACCTGGAGTTTACTAAAATAGAATAGTATAGTATTTTAGCAATATAGAATAGTATTTTAGCAATATGTTAGTGAAATTAAAATTGTGAAAAAACTGTTAATATTAATGCTTTTTCCATTTCAGCTTACAAGAAAAGTCAATGGGAGCAGCTAGGCTTGCTTAACAGCCACATGATTCACTTACCAACTGCAGTAATTTGCTAAACAATTGTAGCAAAAAAAGGTTGCAAAATTGGGTGCAACTCAGTTAACAACCATCTTGCTTTACAATGGAAATTTTGATCTCAGTTGTGGTTGTGAGTTAATGTAAAAACTAAATCTAGTCCTTTGATAGTTCAGTTTGCATTCTTAATCACTGAAAAGACTAGATCATAGAATTATTCTACAGTTACTTTAAAGCATAAATGAAACAATAGCCATAATAAGACAGCGTCCATTGTATATATTTTCTCTTCCAGAGTCCCGGTATATTTTGCTACCAGTAGTTTTGCATCACCTTTATATGCACCTGCAAGAACAAAAGGATCTGATCATGTGTGCGCATATCCTTAGCAACATATTTTGCTTCATTAAGAAAAATAGTTCTGTAAGTAGAAGGAATATCACAGAAAATGGGCTTTTAATTGTTAAGAAGTCTATTTCAAAGGGAAGTAAGACTAAAGTTTATTATTAAAATGCTCATTGAGATAATTAAGGGAGATACTGTTTCCTGGGCTAAGAACCTCACTATTATTTCAGATATCCACAGGGAAGCCTTCTTCATAGTGATACCTATTATCTTAAATACTTACCCTGCTTAAAATTTTTGAGACACACTCTATCTTTTATGTATTTAATGAAAGCTAGGTCTTCCCTTTGTGAATATTGCATGAATGATTCTTTTGCTTTTATTTATTTTTTATTTTCTTCATGACTATATTTTTCTGCTGTTTTAATCAATTTCTTTTATTGCTTTTTTAAAATTTATAAATCAGTTGATAAGTATTTACACTGATTGCTTGATTATACAGTTGGTTTTGACCCCTAGCAATCATATGGATTTTCTCCATGAAAGTATTTGCATAGGAAAGGTTAAATAAATATCTCCTAAATTGGAACATCCAGCATGCAGTATCTAATTCTTCCCATTAATAGTATGACTAGTTTTATAGCAAAATGAGATTATTACATTTATTTTTCAGTACACCAATGTGTATGATTTTGTTCTTCTTTTTTAAACAAATCAAAGGATAAGTCAGTATTGGAAGAAATAGATGTAATTGTGAACAGTCTACTAGATGTATTACTCAGAACCATCTTGGAGATCACAAACTGCCCAAAAGCAGCAGGTTCTACCATGCAGCTTCAGTTTCAGGATGTTACAGTAAGTATTACACCAGAAATACCCATCATGAATATTGAACTGTTAAACTCCTTCCTACAATTATTTTTTTTTAAAAGAAACAAATTTTTGGTCTAAAATGTGTGCAGTTGCTCCAGTTGCATTGGAGCATTTGCTCATCTTAGATTAAAATATTGGAAGAACCCATATCTGAATTTGCAGTTTGATCAGAAACTAAATTCAGTTGGTGTGTGATTATTCTGAACTGAAATGTTAGGGTATTTATAGTACCAGTATGTAGTATTTTTAATGACTAAAGGACTGATAGTAAGTGTTCCAAAAAGAGTACAGTGTATTGCTAATTTGTCATATTAAATGCAAATGAACATAAGTGTTGGTGTCAAATTATAGACCTGTTAACTAACCATCAAGAGTGTGCAGTGTATGGTTTTATGTTAGTGTTAGGACTGCTAAGTTATAAAGGTTTCGACAAAGTTTGGAAGCCCTTTTGGGAAAAAAAGAATTGCAGAAAATATACAATAATTTCAAACCTGCCCCAGCCTGATCTCCTAGGGAAGTAAAACTCTTGACTCCATTTGGTTGAAGTGAAAATGTACTTTTACTATGAGATGCTGGATGCATTAAAGTCAAGTGGAATTTAAAATTCCCATGAGCCATTACAGAACTAAACCCTTGGTTCCCCTTAGTCCTCTCCCTATCCATGCATAGCCAATCTGATACTACCGAGATGTTTTGTGAAATGCTGAGGTGTTTGGGCTGGTAAAATTCCACTCTCAGGGTAAATGGCCTCAAAGATGCCAGTGCATCAACACAAACCAGATTTCAAAGCGCTCTGTTCTTCCTCAGCTGCCAATTCCCCCCCCCCAATTTCCCATCATACAAGTATATAGCTTTATTGCCCATTTGTTCCCCCCCTCTCCTCCCTGATTGATGGCAGAATGCCGGCTGGTGGATCTGACATGCCTGCCCCCCTTGACAAGGATGTCAGTCCTGAAAAAAGACAGAAAGACACAACAAAGAAAGAAACACAAGGTAGATATACATTTAGAGTAGGGAACTATTTTGGTTTATTAGGGTATTGGCTATGGAAGCATTTGAGGAGTTTGGCCACTTTAATGTGCATAAGGTCATCCATTCAGTCCTGGAGGGAGGAAAGTTTTTCCATGCAACTAAATATTGGAGTTTTCCTCTATGTTTGCGAGAGTCTAGAATATCCTTAACTTCAAAATGTTGTTCCCCTTTAATTATGAGAGGTTCGGGTGGTGGAGGCAACATGGGATGCACAGGGGATCGAATCTCTGATTTTAGTAAACTACAATGGAAAATCGGATGAATGTGCCGAAGAGATTTCAGCAGTTTGAGCTCAACTATGACTGGGTTGATGATTCTTTTGATGTAAAAAGAGCCAACGTACTTTGGTCCCAGTTTTTTGAAAGGTTGCCTGGACTGCAGGTATTTGGTGGAGAGGTAGACCCAGTCTTCTATTTTGAAGTCTTTGGGCTTTATCCACTTTTTGTCTGCATGCTTTTTATAAGTCTCATCTCCTCCAATGATTTTCTAACCACAGGCCAGGAATTCTGTAGCTAGTCAACCCAGTCTTTTAAAGATGAAATAGGGTGGTGGTGATCAGGGCAGTTCAGGTAGGGGCACAAAATCATGCTACTATATATGGGGTTATTATAAGCTACTTCAGCAAAAAGGAGGAGATCAGTCCAGTTGTCCTGCTGATAGTTTATATAACATCTCAAGTATAGTTCTATCACCACATTCATATATTCACACCCCCCATTTATTTCATGATGAAGACTGGAACTAAGCCCTTGGGACTTCCAAGAAGCTTTAAAACCTCTTGCCAGAATTTGGACATAAATTGCACTTTGTGGTCAGAAATTATTCTTTATGGAGCATCATGCAGCCTATAGACATAATGGATGAACAGTTTAGCCAAAGTGTGGGTGGAAGGAATTTTTTGGCAAGGTACAAAATGCACGTGTTTAGAGAACAAATCAATGATAACCCAGATTACAGTATTTGTCGAGCTTTCCAATAACTCTACTATAAAGTCCATAGAAATTTCCTTCCAGGGGGCATTAGGCTCCACCACCGGCTGGAGAAGTCCTGGTGTTTTCCCCTGCCACTGCTTGGCTGAAGTGCAGACTGGGTAACTAGCCACATAGCTCTAAATGTCTTTTTTAAGTGACAGCCATCAAAACTGCACTTAATTAAGTGTAAAATTGTCTTTTGGGTTTTGAGTCATGGTCCTTTTCAAAGATTAGTAATCTTTGGCTTTCAGGAACATACAGCTTGGCTCCCACTCAGGCTAGACTCTCTTGCATTGTACATTCATTTTTGTGAGCTTGGAACCACTTATCCTCCTCCAAGGCTGCCTTTAGGTCTCTGCTATGCCTTCCCCAATTTGAGGTTTTGCTCTCACCTGTGCTTGGGTGGTGACTGGTGTCGCAACCTGATGGGACAGAATAACCAGTCTATTTCCTGTTTAGTGCTGTCGTATTCAGGCATCCTGGATAGTGCATCAGCCTAGAAATTTTTCCTCCCTGGGAGGTAGTAAAGACTGAAATTAAATTGGTAAAAATACTGAGCCTATCGATCTTGCTTGGGCGATAATCTCCTGGGTGTTTTTAGGGCTTCTAAGTCTTTATGATCAGTCCACATCTTGAAAGGGGTCTTGCTCCCCTCCAGGAAATGTGTCCATGTTAAGAGTGCCCAACACACTGCTTAAATCTCTTTTCCCAAACTGCCCATCGCCGCTCAGTGTCAGTTTCCTGGAGGTGTATGACATGGTTGTAGGGCACCCTGGCTATTCCTTTGGGGAAAAAAACCAGCTCCCACAGGCATATTGCTAGCATTCACCTGAATAATAAATGGGGTGTTAGGGTCTGGGTGTTTTAACACCTATTTGGCAGCAAACAACCATTTTGAGTTTTTCAAATGCTGACTGGCATTCCATTGTCCGCTTGAATGGCTGATTTGGTTTTTCCCTTCCCCTTTTGTCTTTAGCAAGTTGGTTATAGAGAGAGTGGTCTGGGTCAACGATGGGATAAATTGATGGTAAAAGTTCTCAAATTGCCAAAAGCCATGCAGTTGATTTCTGGTGTGGTGTGGAGCCCACCCAAGCACTGCCTTAACTTTTTCAGGGTCCATCTCTATCCTGTTGTGGGAGATGCGGTAGCCCAAGTAGTCAATTTTATTCTGGTGGAACTCGCATTTTGAAAGTTTAGCATACAGTTAAGCAACCCTGAGCTTTTTAAGGACTGCCCTAAGCAGTTTTACATGCTCCATCATAGTCTCACTGTAAATCAATATGTCATTCAGATAGACTAACATCCACTTGTAGATGTGCTCAGGCAGTACCTCATTTATCAGCTGCATGAAGACAGTGGGGGCCCCTTGTGGTCCAAAAGGGAGGACACTGAATTTTAAACACCCTAAGGTGCAGTTAAAAATGGTTTTCTATTTGTCTCCTCTTTAATCTGAACTCGGTAATAAGCTTCTAGCAAGTCCAATTTAGTAAAAAACTTCCCTTTGGCCAAATGGGCTAACATATCTTTCATCAGAGATAATGGGTAGATGTTTTCCACACACAGAACATTTAGCCCTCTATAGTCTATGCATAGATGCAAGGATCCATCCTTTTTCTCCTGAAACAGTATCGGGAGCCCCCCTGGTTTGGGCCAGTTGGATGAGCTCCAGCTTCAGGTTTTTGTCTATAAAAGAACATAGTTTGTCCAGTTACCTAGGGATCATCGAATACAATTTGGGTTTAGGCAGTTTAGCCCTGGCATGATGGAGCAGTCTGTTGGCCAGCGAGGTGGGAGTTCATTTAAACTTTTCATGCTAAACATGTCCCCTAAGTCTCGGTACTCCAGCGGAATTTGGGGATTGCCCTTCTTCTGCTTTTGCACTGCGACCCCCACCTCCTGTCTCAGCTTTGGGGTCCATAAGCTTTTGCCTGGTTTCCTTTCAGCCTCTGACCACCAGATTTTTAGCAGCCTCTCCTCCAGTTCACATAGGGATTTAATTTCCATAGCCACACCATTCCCAACACTAAATACCCAGAGCCACAATAAAACTCTGTGTGCACCCTCAGTCGTATTTCTATCAGCTTGGTGATGCATGTTGCTGGGATTTCCCCTGTTATAGAGCCATCTAATTGGCAGAATGCCACTGGCACTTTGAGCAGTCTAGTTTATCCACCAGGGCATGGTTGACCAAGTACCTGGTGCACCCTGAGTCCAGAAGGGCTTTTAGGCTGGCTTTCTGCCCTGAGGATTGGATTATCAGTTCTATGGGGACTGTCACCAGGGTGATTGGGCCACTTTGCAGGGGGTCATCATTGGAGTCCATGTCATTCTCCCCCATCCTACTGCTGGGCTGATCAGAGTTTTCTCACCATCCCTGTGGATGGGATGAACTCTGCAACCTCCCTTCTTTCCAGGGGTGTCTCATGAGTTCATGTCGGTGGCTTGGCAGGCTTTTGGGTGGGCCCCAGGGTTGTTTTTTGAGTTGTTCAGTTGGATTAGCACTCAGCAGCCTGCTGCCCCTCTTTTCTGCACTTGAAGCAAGCTGTGGAGCATTGCTGAGGGCTCTGAGTATCTATTTGTGATTTTGGGGTTTCCTAATTCTCCAGGAAGGATTTTTGCCCCCCCCCCTCCTTGGCTATGCTTGTTTCAGGCAAGGTCAATCTCTGCTTCCTCAGCTAGGATATACCAGCCATGGAGAGTGGGAGAGGCACCCCTGGAGATGCAGGTGTTGTAGATCTCATTAGTTAGCCCAACTTTGAAGCAGCCAATCAAGGTGTCTTGTGGCCAGCCATTGAGCCAACAAGCTAGATTGTGGAGCTCCTGGGTATACTTGGCCACATTTCTCTGGCCCTGGCTGATGGTTTTGATGAGGTGAGAGGTTCCTCGAAGCATTTACAGAATGCTGCCATGAAGTGGTTAAAATTCCTCAGCTCCAGGGCATCATCATTATGGAGGATGACCATCGATCTTGATGTGGCC